GGTAACAAGTAGTCTGAATAATTCCAAGCTTCATTGGGACATCGAGGAAACAAAAGGTTTTCGAGGATTCTTCGCGATCTTTTTTCTGTTCCACGTGTCCATCAACATTACGGCACATTAAACGTTTAATGCGCCATTCGAGCCATTGCAGTTTTACAGTCTTATACATATTGTTGGGTGCCTCCAAGTAGTTTCGAGGACCGCAATTTATCGCCAACAGCCATTGAAGCTTCGTATCGCCTTTAAACCTTTTTACAAGTCGCTGGCTCCGCGAAATTGCATTGATTTTATTTTTCCCTGAGAATTTTAATTATGCGAAAACCCGCGACGTGCGTCCGCGTTTAATTAATCTCGACAATTCCCTCGTAGCGATTAAATGTCCAGCATACGTAATGCCTTATTAATATCGCCTATAATTATTAGAAACGATCTAACGTAAACGCATGAATTAAATACGTGCTGGATGGCATTGCCGAAATATCGGAAATCGATAAAAACTCATTTTTCATATGGAATACATCACTATACATTACCATAAAACATCCATCATCTTGTCAGAATCGATAAAATATGTATTAAATATAGCGATGATAAACGTTCAGAAATTCGATTCTCAATTCTGAAGAAAAACATTCAAGAAAAGTACGCTTCTCTATGTATATACCGCATCTTGTTTTGTATTTTTATTTATTTATACATTTTTTGCAGTTGTTTCTGCAACTAGTATTAAACGATAAATTTTTCACGGAAAATAAGAGGCGGGCGAAAAATGCGAGATACGCGATATCCCCGTTGACCTCAAGTGTACTCTCGACCCCTTTTCGAAAATTCGCTTAATTTATACCAATGTATCCGCATCATGATTGAATCGAGCGTCCTCGTGTTATCGCGATGCTTAATATTGCATCGTCATGTTTATTAGGTCAATGTTTCATGCGTTTGGCTTTAGTTACGAAAACTGACCGGTCAATTATTTCGAATGTGATTTGGCCGAAATGTAATACAATTTTTCATCCATCGAATGCACTCAAATACGCAGTCGAATCATTTGTAAAAAAATAATCAAAAAAATAATAACAATAAATTAATGAAAATACGCAATACATTATTAATGTATGGCGTGCAAGGGAATTTATATCTCAGCCTCTTCACAGGTTGATCACTTGGATTCAGTTTAAAACGTGATACGTTAAATCGAATAAAATTTTCAATCGCAGTTGCACCGCACGTGAAGGATTGATAAATTGTGGGAACCTGTAGAAATAGCGCGGGTATTTCGCGTTGAAACTTTTACGCGCAGTCGACTTTCTAAATTAAACGATGAAACTTTGAGGATTAAAATTTTCGCCAAGTTTCGGACATTCGCTCTTACGGCCGCTGTTCCGTCGATGGTTTTTGTTTCATGAATCCACGCTATTCCGCGGGATTACGGTAAGCCGTTAATTAAAAACCCTAGGATAGCGTATAGTGTGAATTATACGTGCTTTTAAGCAGATTATATCGTAGCTAAGGGACGCTAATGTCTAATCCTTCTCCTCGAATATAACGCGTATCTATTTAACACGATGTCACCCTGTAATATCTTGTCCAGTGTAATTTATTAATTTTAATTTATCAATCGAACAGTGCTGTTACAATATTTTGACAAACAATTAATTTTATTTATTTTAGTTGATGAAACTCTCGCGATTGAAAATTAATTTGAAAACAATAAAAATTTATCTTCATTTTTCCCCTCGCCTTCCCTCTCTCTGTCTCTCTCTCTCTTTCATGAGTGTAGAATCAATCTTCCATCGATTCGTAAATTGCTAATTAATGTTCATCCAGCCTCTACTTCATTGGCTTTGTCTCGATCGCAGCCGCCTACGCACTTCTATTTGCTTTCACCTGCATCCGCGAATTGCCACGAATAATTGAAATTAATTGTGCTCTGCCCCGTCTATTCTTTCGTTCGCGAGCATACCAGAGAGCGGCCATTGTTCGGGGCGAAAGGGTGATTAATGTTTTCCATCGTTGAATTAATTCTCGGCAAAAGCATAAACGCCTTTTGTCTTCCCCGACATAGATTAAGCTCTCCGATCTCTCCCTTTTATTTTGTTTCGCAAAAATGCACGCTGCATCTTCGTGCATGTCCTCGCGATAAAATTTTAGTACTTTACATGTCGTACAAGGACGGGGCGCGTACATAATTGAAGTAATTAATGATGCTTGTTCACGGTCTGATTCTCGAATACGTGCCGAGTTTGTATTTTTCTTTTTCTCGTGTCGTGAACCATGCGTTAGAATTTTACGCAGTTGGCAGGAACAAGATAAATGTTAATTTATAATTAAGTTATTTGCGACGCTTGGAGATGCCATTAATTTTACGCAGAATTTTAAGGATGTTTTGTATTTATTTTCAAAATATTGAATTTGATAATTGATTAATGAAAATTGTACAGAATGTCCTTACATATGTTTAGAATCTTCGGTACAATTTTGAAATCGATTCACTAAAGCGTTCACAAGTTATAAGGATTTTAATTTACACGAATTAATATGTATTTTTTTGGGAAACGTATAACTACGTCGATTCAAATGACAAAAACACATGAAAACAAAACACATGAAAACAAAACACATGAAAATAATATTTAAAATTTGTTTAAAATTTACAAAAGTTTAGATACAGAGGAAATATTTGGTCAATAATATTATACAAGTACTAACTGGTTAAAAAGATATTAAATATAATTCAATAAAGTTAGCCATGTATCTGTCACAAGACGAAATTCTTTGCCAAAAGTTAATCATTTTGATTAAGGATGTTTCGTACTTATTTTCAAAATATTGAGAATTTAATGAAAACTATTACAGAATGTCCTTACATATGTTTAGAATCTTCGGTACAATTTTGAAATCGATTCACTAAAGTGTTCACAAGTTATAAGGATTTTAATTTATACGAATTAATATGTATTCTTTTGGGAGATTTATAATCACGTCGATTCAAATGACAAAAACACATGGAAATAATATTTAAAATTTGCAAAAGTTTAGATACAGAGGAAATATTTGGTCAATAATATTATACAAATACTAACTGGTTAAAAAGATATTAAATATAATTCAATCAAGTTAGCCATGTATCTGTCACAAGGCGAAATTCTCTGTCAAAAGTTAATCATTTCAATTAAGGATGTTTCGTACTTATTTTCAAAATATTGAGAATTTAATGAAAATTGTACATAATGTCCTTATATATATTTAGAATCTTCAATATAATTTTTAAATCGATTCACTAAAGCGTTCACAAGTTATAAGGATTTTAATTTACACCGAATTAATATGTGTTCTTTTGGGAAACGTATAATCACGTCGATTCAAATGACAAAAACACATGGAAATAATATTTAAAATTTGTTTAAAATTTGCAAAAGTTTAGATACAGAGGAAATATTTGGTCAATAATATTATACAAATACTAACTGGTTAAAAAGATATTAAATATAATTCAATCAAGTTAGCCATGTATCTGTCACAAGGCGAAATTCTCTGTCAAAAGTTAATCATTTCAATTAAGGATGTTTTGTACTTATTTTCAAAATATTGAGAATTTAATGAAAATTGTACATAATGTCCTTATATATATTTAGAATCTTCAATATAATTTTTAAATCGATTCACTAAAGCGTTCACAAGTTATAAGGATTTTAATTTACACCGAATTAATATGTGTTCTTTTGGGAAACGTATAATCACGTCGATTCAAATGACAAAAACACATGGAAATAATATTTAAAATTTGTTTAAAATTTGCAAAAGTTTAGATACAGAGGAAATATTTGATCAATAATATTATACAAGTACTAACTGGTTAAAAAGATATTAAATATAATTCAATCAAGTTAGCCATGTATCTGTCACAAGGCGAAATTCTCTGTCAAAAGTTAATCATTTCAATTAAGGATGTTTTGTACTTATTTTCAAAATATTGAGAATTTAATGAAAATTGTACATAATGTCCTTATATATATTTAGAATCTTCAATATAATTTTTAAATCGATTCACTAAAGCGTTCACAAGTTATAAGGATTTTAATTTACACCGAATTAATATGTGTTCTTTTGGGAAACGTATAATCACGTCGATTCAAATGACAAAAACACATGGAAATAATATTTAAAATTTGTTTAAAATTTGCAAAAATTTAGATACAGAGGAAATATTTGATCAATAATATTATACAAGTACTAACTGGTTAAAAAGATATTAAATATAATTCAATCAAGTTAGCCATGTATCTGTCACAAGGCGAAATTCTCTGTCAAAAGTTAATCATTTCAATTAAGGATGTTTCGTACCTATTTTCAAAATATTGAGAATTTAATGAAAATTGTACAGAATGTCCTTATATATATTTAGAATCTTCAATATAATTTTTAAATCGATTCACTAAAGCGTTCACAAGTTATAAGGATTTTAATTTACACCGAATTAATATGTGTTCTTTTGGGAAACGTATAATCACGTCGATTCAAATGACAAAAACACATGGAAATAATATTTAAAATTTGTTTAAAATTTGCAAAAATTTAGATACAGAGGAAATATTTGATCAATAATATTATACAAGTACTAACTGGTTAAAAAGATATTAAATATAATTCAATCAAGTTAGCCATGTATCTGTCACAAGGTGAAATTCTCTGCACAAAAGTGAATCATTTCGATTAACAAAATTCGAAATATTTCAGTAAAAACGCAATAAATATTAAAAAATACATCTCTGCACTGTAGCTAAGATCAAATTGTAATGCACACAATTGTATTGCACACAATTTCTTACTCAAAATACACCAAAAGTGGATATATTCGTCAATATTGATTTTCAGCTACTTTTTGCTGGGATTGATTGTACATACAAAACATCCTTAAAGAGCATAATTTACAAAGATAATTCAAAAAGATTTTTTTCTCGTACAATCAAATTCAACTTGCGTGCACGTGTATATTCGAGGTGTGATCAACGAAGATTCGCATGATGTTTATAATCCCAGCACAATTCTCGGGGAAGCTGATCGTTGGAACAATCTGATCGCCATTTTGTCGCCATAATCGCGCTCGTTCTTCAGTGTCGTAACGTATTATAAGATCGAGCGTCGTTTCCTCGATCGTTTTCGAGTCTAGTCAGAGAGACGCTGCAACCTTATCGCTGCACATCCGCGTTTGGCGCACCTCCCAAGTACCTCCATGAAGCAAAGTGTGTCCCGAATGAACGATTAACGTAATCTTTCGAAGAGATGCGGGAACCGACAACGTCGGAGCGACAACGGTGAGCGAAACGCGCCGTAGGTGCCGTAAAGGTGCGACGTCGAGGCAGGACGAAAGAGAGCCCCGATAGATAGAGAAAGCGAGAGGAATTATGCCAGACAAAAATCCGGGTCGCCGAAATGGACAACGCGAAAACAAAGATTTCCTCGCCGGCGAGATATCATCCATCGGCATGTCGTTGCGGCCCAGCGGGAGCGCATCCTCCGGTGAGTAACTGCTCTGCGAGGACGAATGTCTGATGCGAATCTCGAGAGGCCACCGGGCCTAAATCATTTCATATCACATCGCGTAATTTGCACTGACGTATGCGCGTTATAAATATCTCATATCTGCGCGTGTGCGCTGCGGGGAATTAATCTTCCGATATCCCGGAAGTATCCTTGAACCTATAGAAATTCACTCCTTTATGTTCGCTTTCTATTAATTAAGTCCCTCGAAGAATAAACATTTATGAAGTTTTTTAATCGCTAGCTTTTACGAAAGACGGTTTGAAAAACTACGCACATATTTTCCTTGGAAAAACATTTACTTGGATAATGTATTAATTAATTAATATTTTTTATTCAGATATTAATTTATAATATTTAATTCATATTTTTAATTAATATTTTAAAATTATGTATTTAATAACGTATAATATTATATATATAATATTATATATATTATGTATATATGTAATATATATAATATTATACATATTAATAGTAATGTATATATATAATATAATATATATATATATATATATATATATTAGTAATATATATATATATATATATATATATATATATATATATATTATACATAATATATATAATATATATACAGGGTGTCCCAGTTGTCTTCCGTCATCTTTCAAAGACAGATTCTTGGGATCATTTGAAGACGATTTTTCCTCAGCGAAAATGTCAGGTCATCATTATTTGCATGTTCCTGATTTTTGTCATCATATATCTTTGCAGTTAAGTCTTAAATTAAAACTCAACTAAAGTAAACTCTATTTAAAATTAATCAAAGAATGTGGTTTTGTTAATATTTTATTTCTACAAAGCTTAGTTTAGAAAAATCCCTTATTTCCAATCACTTATAATTCGAAAATTATGTGCCTCGACATTTTCGTTGAGGAAAAATCGTCTTCAGATGATCTTTGTCTTTGAAAGATGACGGGAGATAACTGGGACACTGGGATATTTAATAATGTATAAATTAATTAATATTTTTTACAAAATTAATATATCTAGAAGAAAAGAAATATATTTTGTCTTAAATATTTTTTTATATAAAGCAGAATAGATCAATATACGGAATTATGCGAATTCAAGAAAATTAATAATCTTTAAGATATTTTTGTCTATTAAAACATCTTGTTAATGATACGAAAAACTGACATAAAACTGTTTATTAGAAATTTTTAGCTTCTAAAGAATTAACGTAAAATATTTTACACCAATATATTGTTTGTTTTTAAATTTACAACTACTTATACGGTTGATTTCGATTCCATCAACTGCCGTAACAGCTTTCTCACGATGTGTCCGTTGGTGATAACTTCCCTGTTATGTTTGCGATCTGTAGCGAGGCACGTCGTGAGCTCGTTTCTCGCGTATATACAATCCTGCGGAATAGATAAGGGAAAGGACTCGGTCGTGGTTAGACTAGTGCGAAGTTGATTGAACAGATTCAAGATAACGCATTCCTTCATCAAGACTTCGGAATTAGCCACCTTGCCGTCGTCCGCGGCGCAGAGCCACAATATACTGTCCAACCAGTTTTCCAACCCCTGTTGCTCGGTTTTATAATTTATGCCCAGGTCGTGTAACCACAGCGTCAGCTGTAACATTTATTTGTTTATTAGGAAACAAGTTCCTTTAATATGCATAACAGAGTACAAGAATCCTTCAACATAAATTTATAACAAATTAGTTCCAATAACAATACGAGTCGATGTTATGACACATTTATTTATTTATTATACAATAAAAAGCATGATCTAAAAATAAAAATAAAAATAAAAAGAAGGAATAGTGAACTTTTCGACTCTATTTTTGGGTCATCTTTAGCGCAACACCTTTGTTATATTTTCACTATCGCATTGCGCTGAAATGACCTAAAAATAGAGTCGAAACATTTGGTATTCCTTCTTTTTTTATTTTTATTTTTATTTTTAATTCATGCTTTTTATTTTATAATAAATAAATAAATATGTCATAACATCGACGCTCGTATTGCAATTGAAACTAATTTGTTAATTTTAGATTTCGAGTCTTATACCTTTATTATTTGTAATAAATTTATAATTACCAAAAAATAGTTTGATAATAGAAACAATATTTAATGAATAGATTGGTAGCCAATAAAAAGTTACACGTGAATATATTATCACAAGGTAGTTATAACTAAACAATTGAATAAGATTAGATAAACGTAATTAAGAATCAGACTAGTCAAAAGACAGACAACGTCCGTTTAAATGAGGTCAATTTCAGATGAAAGAAATCAACATAGTTGGATAAATCATTTGCCAGCAGACATTATTTAAACTTTTTCATGGTCCGATGCGTTTCCACGTGGAAAAGCGTGCAATATCTCAGCGATCCAGCTGGAAGTGAGATTTTACTCCGTGTAGAAATTCAATCATTTTTTAGTAACTGGCCAGGAATTCTTGTCACTAGCTAGTTTTTGGTCAGTTTTTTAACTAGCTAGAAATTGACAGGTTTGGGAGATGCTTGCTTTGATAATAACTAATATGCATAACAGAGTGCAAGAATCCTTCAACATAAATTTATAACAAATTAGTTCCAATAACAATACGAGTCGATGTTATGACACATTTATTTATTTATTATACAATAAAAAGCATGATCTAAAAATAAAAATAAAAATAAAAAGAAGGAATAGTGAACTTTTCGACCCTATTTTTGGGTCATCTTTAGCGCAACACCTTTGTTATATTTTCACTATCGCATTGCGCTGAAATGACCTAAAAATAGAGTCGAAACATTTGGTATTCCTTCTTTTTTTATTTTTATTTTTATTTTTAATTCATGCTTTTTATTTTATAATAAATAAATAAATATGTCATAACATCGACGCTCGTATTGCAATTGAAACTAATTTGTTAATTTTAGATTTCGAGTCTTATACCTTTATTATTTGTAATAAATTTATAATTACCAAAAAATAGTTTGATAATAGAAACAATATTTAATGAATAGATTGGTAGCCAATAAAAAGTTACACGTGAATATTATCACAAGGTAATTATAACTAAACAATTAAATAAGATTAGAAAAACGTAATTAAGAATCAGACTAGTCAAAAGACAGACAACGTCCGTTTAAATGAGGTCAGTTTCAGATGAAAGAAATCAACATAGTTGGATAAATCATTTGCCAGCAGACATTATTTAAACTTTTTCATGGTCTGATGCGTTTCCACGTGGAAAAGCGTGCAATATCTCAGCGGAAGTGAGGTTTCCAGCTGGAAGTGAGGTTTTACCCCGAGTAGAAATTCAATCATTTTTTAGTAACTTGCCAGGAATTCTTGTCACTATCTAGTTTTTGGTCAGTTTTTTAACTAGCTAGAAATTGACAAGTTTGGGAGACGCTTGCTTCGATAATAACTGGACAGTAAAATTAGTCAGTTCACGTCACGTAGCGATAAATGAACGAATTAGCGATCATATAAAATCATAACTAATATTTTTGCAAAGTTTTCATTGAATAGAAACTATCCACTATTTACTTACTATTTACTTACTATTTTTTCTTGTCTAGTTTTTGACCAAAAATGAATCAAGAAATGGCCAGTATTTTCAAAGTTTTCGCTAAATAAAAAACTGTTTATCATTTACTTACGATTTTTTCCAGTTACTGATCAAGAATGAGTCAAAAATTATAGCCAATATTTTCAAAGTTTTCAAACTATCCAATATTTACTTACCATTGTTTCTTGCTTAGTTTTAGGACAGTAACTGGCTATGAAATAATAGTCAGATATTTTTGGCTAGTTTTTGAACAGTTACTGTCTACTTAAGAATGTTTTGTATGTACAATCCCAGCAAAAAGTGAAGCTGAAAATCAATATTGACGAATATATCCACTTTTGGTGTATTTTGAGTAAGAAATTGTGTGGAATATTACAATTTGATCTTAGTTACAGTGCAGAGATGTATTTTTTAATATTTATTGCGTTTTTACTGAAATATTCCGAATTTTGTTAATCGAAATGATTAACATTTGGCAGAGAATTTTGTCTTGTGACAGATACATGGCTAATTTGATTGAATTAAATATGAAATATAAATTGAATGAAATATTTAATATCTTTTTAACCAGTTAGTACTTGTCTAATATTATTTGACCAAATATTTCCTCTGTATCTAAACTTTTGCAAATTTTAAACAAATTCTAAATATTATTTCCATGTGTTTTTGTCATTTCAATCGACGTGATTTCCCAAAAGAACACATATTAATTCGTGTAAATTAAAATCCTTATAACTTGTGAACGCTTTAATGAATCGATTTAAAAATTGTGCTGAAGATTCTAAATATATGTAAGGACATTCCGTACAATTTTCATTAAATTCTCAATATTTCGAAAATAGATACAAAACATCCTTAATCTTAACCAGTAAAAACTGATCAATTTCTGGATAGTGACAAGTTTCTCCCAGAAATGTTTCTACTCGGGATATTACGTAATAAATCCGGGCAATCAATGAATCCACAACAGGAACAGGGAGAGATTAGTTTCGAAATCACGACCGATTTCCTTTGTTGCGACGAAACCTTGATAACGCGAGCGTCGGAACGAAATGTCAGCATCCGGTTAGATATTTGTACTCGAGCAGCAATAGATAGATTGAAATATCTCTCCGTTCGTTTCTCATCAAACATTATATTGCCCAAATATTCTCGAGCTTTGAAACAAATCATATCTTAATAAATACAGTTTAATAAATTATAATTTATAATAAGTTATAATTATTATAATTAAAATATATCATCGCACGGTCGTTCTGCTATAATGCTGACATACCTGGTCGAGGTAATGTTTTTTTTTTTTAATGAAAAAAATGCTCACCGTGCCACGGCACTGGAAGGTGAAGGGATTCCCGGAAAAGCGGAACTTCTCGATGCCTGCCATGGGCACAAGTTGGGCCGGTTCCAAGCACGTCAAACGGTTCCCACTGACATCGAGCCTCTTGAGGCCTCGCAGTTTCTCGAAGACCGTGGACTCGATCGACACGATGTGATTGTGCGAGAGATCCAGCTGCTCCAGAGACGTTAAACCGACGAACCACTGGTCCTTCACCGACGTGATGTTATTGTACGACAGACCGAGCTTCTTCAGGAGCATCATACCGTCGAAAGCGTGGTCGGAAATCTCTCTGATATCGCATTCGTGCATGTTCAAAGATACCAAGCTCTTACTGTATCTCAGGAACGACCGATCGGGGATACTCTCTATCCGCGATTGAAAAATCATCATGTTGTCTACGAGCGATCCGCCGTAAATTATGGCGGTATTTAAGTTGGTCAGATTGGAGCACACCACACGCTCGTGTGAGCCTAGGATAATTAAATTGTTTAATAACAGCAAAACGAGATCGGTTAACCGCGACAATTTTGTCACTTCGCATTTTATTTTATATTTTATGCGGGTGATAAACAATGAAATTGAAATATCATATTTTTTATATCATGATATATGTAGTTAAGTTACAAAATAAAAGAGAGAGAGAAATTTTGCGTGAAATAGTTCTCATCAAATGCGGCCGCTCACCATTTTCGTACTTGTTGTTGACACATGACGCGATTGCGACGTCTGTGAAAACGGAGGCAAAAACGAGAAGCAAGATGTACCGGCACATCTCGAGATACCCGCGGCACATTCTGTCCGGTTCTGATCGGTTTTGTGACTGACAGCGTTCGGGAAACGGATACGAAAGAAGTGAAGTAATGCAAATTATCTCAGCCACTTCCCTCTGTCAATGATACCGAGCTATCGGTACACAAATATCTAGGATGTCATTTCGCACTGATTGCAGAAGCATCATTAATTAACAATGCGTTATTATTTAACAGGACGCCGTAAAAAATTCACCTCATTTCAGAGAAAAAAATGAAGAGGCAACGGATGATAATTTTTAATGAATATTTATTTTATATCTCATCACAAGGAAAATGCGATGAAAATTACACGTGTTTTATATAAATTACATAATGTGTTTTCTAATCAAAATAGATTTTTGTCTCTTTTTATTATCTAAAGAAAGATATGTACAGGGTGTTTCATTTTAATCTAGCCAGGCGAATATTTCCAACGCTGTTGAGTTTAGAGAAAAATGTTTCAGACAAAAGTTGTATGGTTTCGAGGGGGACATAAGATGATACCATTGGTTTGACCTTGAAGAGTTATTTGAAGATCACATGAAGGTCACTTTCAATTTCCTAAATGGAATCTACATTTTCTCTTTACATATTCTTGTAACTTATCTCGAGAGCTTTCCAAAACACTATAATTAAGTACCTTTTCGTTAAGTACTTTTTGAGTTATAAGGCCTGAAATCATTTCTTAATTTTACATAAACCATAAAATATCTAGTAAAATATTCATTTTTCGATTATCTTACCTTAATACTTTCATGTACAAAATAATGAGGGGAATCAATTGGTGTAAAGAAAATATACAGTTGTTTTTAAGAAAAAATATGGAATTGTTAATTGCAAATTATTCGCCTGGCTAGATTAAAATGAAACATCCTGTATATATGCATTCAGAAATTTTCTTGTTTCTGATGTTTGAATTATCATCTCGTTTTTTTCGTCGCAAATTAATTATATAAATAAATCGCATATATTTGTGCCAGAAAAATGTAAATTATTTTCCTTCTTTTTTGACAGGCATCTCGACCCTCGCAAGTTGCGGTGAGGTCGACGCGCTTCCCGAGCTTCCGGCTCAGGACGAAGAACGTCTGCAGCGCGCTGCGCGTCTGCTGCAGCAGAGACTGGTGCTACGTCAATGGTTGACGGATCATGGCCTACACAATTATTATCAAAAGTAAGAGAAATTGGCACAAGGTTAAAAGGACGGATGAATATCAATCTTGATAATTATGTAGCAACCGTTCACAGAATTGTTGAGAAGCTATTGTTTAAAATTAACGAATAAGTTTAATTAGTTTACGGATTTTCTTAAGGATTTTCTTCCCGGTTGCCCCAACATTATTTTAGCTTTAAGCGAAACTTAAATATATGTCTGTCTTTATTTATTTAGAAAGAAAGATAAAGATAGACGTATATTTAGGTCTCGCTTAAAGCTAAAATAATATTGGTGCAACCGGGCCTAAGTCCAATAATATTAATAAATATTAATAAATACAAATATTAATAAATACAATTTATATGCACAAATTAAGATTTTATTACATTGCAGAAAAATGTAATTTTTAATCATTCTCATGATAAATTTGCTAGCTTTGAAAAATAATTTCTTAATATTTGTTAATTATATCATTGAAGCTTCGTAAGTCTTTTTCTTCCATAAAATCTTTTCTTCCTAGTTAGCTTAGTCACTTATCCGCTAAAATAAACGGGCTTTCTCTAAGAGGCTCGCAAAGATATACTTTATCAGGTATATTTCGAGCATATATTTTGAAGGTGTACTTTGTCAGGTTGATGCAGATGGAGGTGATGTCCCTGGAGGATGTGTACTGGGTGGAGGACAATGCGGCACGGGCAGCCCTTGGCAAGGATCTACCGCGGTGGATCCAGGCCAGGCAGACATTGCCTACTTCAAAAGAAGATTTAGAAACTCTAAAAGCAGATCTGTGGAGTGCCGTTGTGAAAAACAGCCAACATCAGGATGCTTGGACATGGGGTACGAGTTTATGTAGCACCATTTTCTCTCTATTTCGGTAAAACGAAATCCTTCCTCCGGAACGAGAATTCATTGCCTCGTGAATTCGCCGCAATAGTTACAATTTGAGAACGGCATTTTAACGGAAATGATTTTTATTTTCCTGCAATAAAACACAATAAAAATATTATTAATGAAAAATTAAGTAATCAATATTAGTAATAAAATTAGTAATCACAAAAATTAAAAATTCATTAAATACTTACTAAAATACAATTATTATTACTGATGTCATTCGATGCAATTTAAAGCAGCATCGATTAAAAAAAAAATATTAAAACAGATTTGATTTTTCTCTTTATATTCAGTCCCTTTCTCTCTTCTAGCTTTTATTATTTTTTTTTGTTAATTCTTTCCTTTGAACGTTTTACACGCGTTTGAAAAGGCAGACCATTGATTAAATGTGCAAAGCTAACAAATAACTTAACTCGCCAGGCGGTATGCTGGTAGTTTCCGTGTCAGTGGCAGGGCTGGTTACCCTGGCTGCTATGACGCAGCCCGCTCTGGCACCCGAAGCGAAACATTCTCTTCTGCAGTACGTCACAGGAAAATATTTATTACCGAGTAATTGCCGCGTTCATTTCGAGTGGGAAGAGCCTCAGCTGGTCGGCGAAACGATGACTTTTACTGTAAAAGTGAGTAAAGCGACCGCCGCGACAGATATTTACATTTCTGTAGTTGTTTCTTATCCGCGAAAATAAACGGACTTTCTCTATGCTTTATCATTACATTCGAAAAAATAATCCGCATAAAACGGAGCACATTCAAAAAAAATTTATTAAAGCAACTATTTTATACAAAAATTTATTAAATAACTATTTTTGCATTAAGTATGCAATGTTAGGAAATTTCAAATGATAAATAGTTGACTCAGCAGTTATATTTGAAAACATTTTAACAACGTCAAATGATAACATTTATATTTGAAAACTATTAAAAATCTGAGGCAGATCGTGCGCGATTAAAAGTTAAAAATTGAGACGTTTTGACTTGTTAAATATTTTATACATATATATTACACGCGTAAAAATATTTGTTTACAGTTTTATCAACGCAACGGTCAGCCATATCCGATATGTGATAAGGATAACTTGATCGTAGAAGTAACGGAAGACACGCGCAGGGTGGCTACGTTAATAGAACTGGGAGGCACCGACCCCTTAGCTGCGAATACTGCAGTAGTCAAGTTTACTGTCCGCCATGCGGGACAATATCGAATAGCTGTACTTATCGGATCGTGTCATGTGCATGGCAGCCCGTTTCTTAAGAATTTCCTTCCTGGTACGTGTGCTTGATGCATGTAAAATAAAGTCGATACAAATCTAATACGTCTGATACATCGTAAAATAAAATTGAACAATGCTACGAGAATACCTACGTATACGATCAGTTTAGTATCAAATGTAAACTAAGATAAATGTAAACATAGATATAAAATGTTGTGGGATCGATGGTTTTTAAATTACGTAATGAAGGATCCTTTTTCGGAAATTAAATTTAAAAATTTAAGCGATACTTATTTTTTATTTAATAATTTTTATACTAGAGAGTTATAATTATTATATTTCATTATATTTTAATTATTTTATAATTATTATATTTTAATTATTCTTATAATAGAGAGTTTTATAAGATATTTAAGATTCCACAAGAAAACTTGCATAAATAATATATAATTATCTGTTGATATTTCTATTAAATAAAAGTCAACTTGAAATTTTTTGATGAAAGAATTTATAGAAAATATCGTGATTTAACATAGGCCCTCCGGATCCAAATAAGACAGTCTTTGTACGACAAAGTTCTACAGTCGTTTGTACAGCCGGAATAGCGCATTCGATGACAATAGAACCACGCGATGAATATGATAATCTGTGCATATTTGGGCCCAGGGATCAACCTACTGAAGGCTATAATATTAATATTACTCAGGTAAATTTGAAAATACATTGCAAGAGTACAAAATTTTAATAATTGTTTAATCGTCTATATCTGCATCGTAGATCGGTAGTCTAGGAGATGAAGGATCGATGGTAGACTACAGTATTCATCTCGACTACGATTCTCCAAATCAAAGAATTCGTTTGAAAGTAAGCTTTCCGAAAGGCGGATGTTATCACGCGACTGTCAGTTTAGCGGGATTGCAGTTGCACAATGGAGACTTTGATATCATTGTACTCGAAAGTACGTAAAAGATACGTCTCTTACATTTTCCTACGACATGTGTATAACGCTCATGTATATCTTTTCTTATCATTATTAGGTTCTGTCGCGAGAATGGTGCATAATAATGTAGCGTCTAAGGATCCCGATATTTGTTATGTCGCAAAGTTGCTGGGCATGCAAGGGGAGAGGTTTTCCAAACCAAGGAAAGTCTTCTGTTTTATTTCGCCTAAACAACTTACGATTAAGGAGTATTTATTAAAATTCATTCCCATAAGACTCGTAACATTTAGACTGTGTCCTTCGACTAAGGTATGTAATATATGTTATTAGAAATAATTACGCGTCTTTAATTTAATTTAATCTGTCATGGATTTATATATAATTTCTTATTTTTTTAATTTATAGTTCCACTTTGAAAGTTCTACTAATCAGCACGAGGGTTATTACCCTTTTTCGATAGACGACGGATGCCAACCACCCGTTGAATTAATATCTCTGTACCGTGATATAATAGCAGCCACATTTACGTTGTTTCTTTTGAAAAATATCGGTGGCAGTGAGACGTTCGCCGATAAACAAGACTTTTTCTATCACGAAGTCCGCAAGCATCATCAGAAGCATTATCATGAAAAACTGTCGATGAAAGTGCAGCGTGATAAGCTTTTAGAATCGGTAAATATAAAAATATAACTCTCTGAAAACTCTCTTTTCACGAGAACATTGCGCACAAAAATGTATATTGACTATATTTTCTTCCCCTAAAGTCCATGAAGGCCACTAAAGGATTTTCCGTGAGCGATTGGTGCCGAAATTTTGAAATTACTTTCCAAGGCGAGCAAGGTGGGTTTGACGTTTGCATTTTAGTAATTTTTATAAAGATCGATTTGACGAGATAATTACATAAGAATCGTTTATCTCATACGCCAGGCGTTGATTGGGGTGGCGTGCGACGCGAATGGTTCGAATTGATATGCGCCGCTCTCTTCGATCCGGGAAACGGTTTGTTCGCGTCGTTTGGAGAATCGCAGCAGGCATTGGTGCATCCAAATCCAAAACGGCCACCTCATCTTAAATTGAAGCACTACGAATTCGCTGGACGTATCGTAGGCAAGTGTCTTTACGAGTCGGCGCTCGGCGGCTCCTATCGTCAGTTAGTACGAGCGCGATTCACTAGATCATTCCTGGCGCAGATTATAGGACTTAGAGTACATTATAAGGTAAAGTGTCGAGAGAGCTCTCTTAACAAGAAACTTTGAAAATATAAACTAACAACTATATATTTCTTTGTTACGAACGCTAGTACTTTGAACAAGACGATCCTGATTTGTATTTAAGTAAAGTGAAGTACATTCTCGAGAATGATGTTGAGGAAATGGAATTATACTTTGTTGAAGAGGAGTACGACAAGGATGGCCAATTGTTGAAGGTAAACGTTTTCATTTCGTAAAAATAACGGAAGACTCTCATTCGAAAAAACTCATTGTAATATTGCTTTTATTTATTACTTGAAATAAAAAACAAAATATTTTAAATATATTTTAATTAAATAATAATTTAATAATAATTTTAGAATAATATGTAAATATAAACAATTTATAAAAAACAGAGATTTGGATTTAAATATTAGGACAACACACAAAAAAAGGTTAATATAATTTAATGCATAATTGCGGTAATTATGATTAATATTCCTACATTTCGCACAGGTGGCGGAATTGATTCCCGGTGGTAGCAAAATTCGAGTGACCAATGACACGAAGCTTCGTTATCTGGACGCGCTCGCTCAGCACCGGCTTGCCAGTTCCATTCGCAACGAAGTCGATCATTTCTTGCGCGGTCTTAACGAATTGATTCCCGATAACCTCTTGGGAATATTCGACGAAAATGAATTGGAGGTACGTAAAATATCTCTCTCTGCTAGAGACAATTTCAGTATTCAAAGATGCTGACTCTCCACCTACTTTCACAGTTGCTGTTATGTGGAACCGGTGAATATAGCGTAGCGGATTTGCGCGCGCATCACATAGCTAACGGAAGTTCTCCGGAATTTCTCCGAGTGCTCGACTGGTTCTGGACAGCGGTGAGCAATTTTACGCAGGAAGAAATGGCGCGGCTGCTCCAATTCACCACAGGCTGCTCGCAATTGCCACCCGGTGGATTTCAACAATTGAGCCCGCGCTTTCAGATCACAGCTGCGCCAACGTTCGCTAACTTACCTACGGCACATACCTGGTACATTTTTATTTCGAGAATATTATTTCGTGAGGATATAAATTCTAACATTCATTAATTAATATAATTTTTTTTTCAGTTTTAACCAACTTTGCTTACCTGACTACGAATGCTACGATCACTTTGAACGAGCGTTGCTGTTGGCCATCAGTGAGGGTACCGAAGGTTTCGGCATGATCTAATCGGGAATCCGCTAAATTTTTAGTCGAGTCTAATTATAACGCCACTGTGTTAATTAAATCCACAATTATGTACCCATTTTTCCTCCAAATGATAAAAAACCGCGCATCGTCTTTCGCGAAAAAATAAATCCTATCACCTGAGTTTATCCCCCATAGTAACTTCCTCGCCATCGGCGAGGTCGAGAAGAGAGGATAGTAATTTTATCGCACGTTTTGTATACGTAGACGGTTAGGGAGAACTCTTTTTAGAATTATCTTTCTTCTATTTTACGCCGAAGATTATCAGGAAAAATCTAATCTTCCGACGAGTGAGGAGAATGCAATTTCTACTGAGCCGTGGCGACATTTTTATAAAATGGAAGATATCCAGAGCAAGAGCAATGTTACCTCAACATCAAAGCTGCTCAATATTATTATATCGAGACGTAGCGTAGTCGAACGTATAACGATAGGTTTTGCGTTATGTGAACGTAAAGGGAATTACATTAATACATTAATGCGTTTCCTCGTACGACGATGTAGTTAACGTCGCTGTATAATGACATACGATAGAACAAATCAAAATATACATAGATAACTTTTCCTTTCTTCGCAGATAAGTATTACACGTAAGGAGAGATCAACGCATTTCATGAAGGGATCATTGTGGCAATGTATAATATGTTCCATTGATCAGTATTTCCGTTTTTTTGTCAACACATTCTCGTCGACTGGCGCACAATATGTGATTTTAAGACGATTTAAAAAAACGATACTAATACATTAAAGCTTTGTGCCTAGCAGTTTCTTATTTCTTTCGTTCTATCCCACTTACATAATTACAGCACAGCAATTATACGGTACTTCCAACGTCAAAGATGGCGGATAAAGTAAACTAATTAGCGTGTACGTCCCGTACTGTAAATGCGATTGTATTCCGAGACACTACGCATTATTTCTTATCAACGCAAAATGTTCGCGGTAAAAATAAAGTGATTACCTAGCCATAATGAAATACTGTAATCGTACTGCGGGCATCGCATTCTGATGTATACGTATTGATTTAAGGCGCAATAACATATAACTATTATATTAAGTAGAGAGGGATTAACGTAGTAATCTCGCCATAGCGGGCATTTGTTGTAAAAAAAAGTGCACGAACGGCCAACGATCGCAAATCATAACTACGCCTCGCAGTAGTAATCTGCCATCAGATAATACTCTGACGGTAATTTATTTTTATCAGTTTATCATGTTACACGAAGGAATCTAAAAATATATAGATTAAAAAGGTATGTAATATCTCATGTTTATTAGACAAATCCTGCTAAAAGTTCCATTTAGTATACACATTATTTTCTTGCTTATACAATTTACATACAAAAAGGAAAAAAACTTGATCTATAAATCGAAGTGCTGCGTAACGCGATAAAATTGCTTGTTTCATCCACGGTGTGTTCAAGCGTACATATGTATATCAAATCTCTATTACTCAAGAGTTAAATATTGATTCGAAAAAAAAAAGACTGCAATGTTCAATTTTAAATGTAAGAAAGGAGAAGCTAATCAATTTCTTTGCCGTCCCACGAGTGCCTGTCCTTGTCATTCTTCGAAATGTCACTTTCAATCGTAAATCGTCCTCCTTTTCACGGCCAAAGATACGTTTGCATCAACTGACCGGTAAACATTTTCCTCCGAGTCGAAACCGGCTCTCAGAAAGTCGCAATCACGCTTAAGCCCCTTGTCTGCTTATTTACATACAAGAAATTAGTAATGTTTCTCCGGCTCTCTGTTAATAACGCGTCTATCAAATGATGTAAAATAAGCAGAAATTTTCGCATCATTTCTGAAGATTGTTGAATCTTTTCAGGTATTAGTATAAAATACCTATTCTATGGCGGCAATGGCAGAGCAGCACTGGACAGAAAAGCGAAAGTCCGCATGATTGACGCGCGCATGATGCTCCCAGCAATCTGCAACATCCGGCTGCTCCAACCACCCTCTTGAGACTGACGCACCAGTCGCTCTCGCAGCTCTCTCAATTCCGTCCTGGCGGACAAAAGTGCCCATTGTAACTGGATTAATTAGAAGATTAATTTTTCAAAAATAAGTCTCACATCTGCGAATTGTATTCCGACTCAACGCGACGAAGTTCAGCTTCTCGATCGACCAGCTGACTCTCCAGGGAAACGGCACGCAAACTCAGAGCCCTGGCGTTACCCTCGCTGGCTCGCAGACGTTTCTCTAATCTCTGCTTCTCCACGTCCGCAACTTGCAATTCCCTAATTACACAGTTCAAATTAACGATGATAAGTCTCCTAAGTACGCAGGTGTTTCGGATTACAATTAGAATCCCTATCGTACTTGGAAATGCGCTCCAACTGCTCCTGCGTAGACTCGGCGTGAGCCACCTGAGCCGCTAATCGTAGCTGCAACTCCTCCACAGTGGATTCCGCTTTCTCGGCTCTGATGCGACGATCCGTTGCTAGGGCCTCGCTAGCCGATACCTAGAGTAAATTTTCTCATCATAAATCACATTATAAAGAATTAAGTAATTTATAATATTTTAATATAATATATAATAATTTATAATATTTTAATATTATAATAATAATTTATAATTTATAATAATTTATAATATTTTAAAATATTTATAATATAATTTAATATATATTATATTAAAATATTTATAATATTTTAATATTTATAATATTAAAATATTTATAATACTTTAATATATATAAATAATTAATATTATATTAAAATATTTATAATATTTTAATATAATATATAATAATTTATATCTTTAACGAAACAATATATATTTTTCATTATTAAAGATATTTATATAATGCATTCTTTTTTAGTTAGACTTGCAGAATCGCTGGATCTGCGACCGTGTAATCATTCATTCGCATGTAGGATTGCCATATAAGATTGATAGGACTCATCAATGTAACATATGTATAAATGTAGGATGATACGTCTAATCTCGGAATTCAATAAGTATTCGTATTGAAACTTTTCGCGATTCACTTATTCTACATTGAATAAAAGTTAATAGGGCAAGTGGTATTGATCCTTTTTCCTGGTACGGAAGGAGTATTACGTGATATTGAGTCACCAATGAAACGCGAAAGGTGTGATTCACCCATAAGCTATATTTCTCTTGTCGTACGTTGACCTGACGCTATCTCGTAGATGAATTCTACGATCTTTAAAGAATGATGGATGTCACCGAGGCTGCACGTAATGACAAGTGTCATAGATTAAACTCAATAGTAGCATATTATATCGATCTTGTACGGAGCACGTGTTTAACAAACAATAATCTTGCACTCGTCGCAATAAAGATAATTTTGAAAAGGCTTAAATAGTGTTTCGTTGTATATACGACTTTTAATTTCCAAGCAATATGTTAGAAAATATTTTTGCGATTTAAAAAGATTTTTTTAATCCAGTATAAATTAGAAAATAAATTTTTAATGATTAGAATATTAGAAATTTAATGTTTAATAATACTATTTCTATAAGAATTTTAATAATCTAATCTAATTTTATTAAACATTAAAATTATAATGAAAATAATAAAAATTCTTATAGAATTAGATAATAAAAATTCTTGTAGAATTTTTATTATTTCTATTAGAATTTTAATAAAATAATAATTAAATAATAATAAAAATTCTTATAGAATTTTTATTATTATTTAATTATTTAATTCTTATAGAATATTATTTAATTATTATTTTATTAAATAAGAAATTCTATAAGAATTTTTATTATTTCTATTGGAATTTTAATGTTTAATAATATTATTTATATAAAACCGCAACTTGTCATATTTAAAGGGATTTATGGCAAGTTTCGTTATATCAAGAATCCGTTGGATATAAATCCGATGACATTTCGCTGTCGTTCCCTATATTTGCGCAGCAAGCCAATGTTACTTTACATCACAGTTGTTGGAGACGTCTAACTTCCACGAAAGAGTGGAAAGGGTGAGAGAGAAGGAAGGGATGAGTCACACTAGTTCATGGAACGCGAAGGGATTTCGCACGGGAGAGTTCACCCCCGAGGAGGAGGAGGAGGAGGAGGAGGAGGAGGAAAAAGAGGTCGCGATCTCGCGTCTCCTACGAGCATAACAATGAGTCACCGAACGATGGATCAATTTTTTATTACTATCGCGCTATTGCGGACGCTATATAAGCATTCACGTGCGCGTCGAAAGTCGCGAGTCTCGTGACTCAATGCATGTTGTTTATGCAGAATTTATGCAGATTAGAAAAAATATAATAAATTACAATTTTTTGCCAAGAGAGAGACGGCCCAAAGCTAATCGGAGAATCCGTAATTTAAGAAAAAGCATATTTAATGAAGGATGTCTTGGGGAAAGATTCCGTATACACGATCTAATCATGATTAATTTTCTCAGTCCGAAGAAAACACGGGACCTTATCCAGGAGGATCCTTTTGTCTTCCCGTAATTTTAAGAGTTTCTCTCGATCTTTTGCCATTTGCGTGTCGAGGGCCTTCAACTGGTCTTGCGTGGTCAAAAGCTCATTTTTCAAATTTCCCACAGTGACCGATCGCTCCAGGGAAATCTCTTCGACGCGCTTCAATTCGACCTCCAATTTGTCTTTCTCCTGCAAACGGAATATCCGGATAAATAAAAAAATTGCGTTGAAAATTGATAAACGACGTATATAAAATTATTAAAATTAGATCAAAGTAGATCGTACCAACTTGACGGCGTCGCGTTCTCGCGTCATCTCCTCCAATTGCGACTTGTCACGATGCAGCTCGCCGTTCAATCTGCCGACCCGGTCGTTCTCGGCGAGCAGCAATCGGCGCAGGAACTCGATCTGGAGGTGTAAGTGCTCCACCTGTTGCTCTAGTTGTGCGATCTCGACGCGTCTACGTCGCCAAGCGTTCACCACCAGCATGTGGCACACAATATTCGCCGCCCGGGTCGTCGGATCCTCCGCCGAACCGGCAACTTCGCCCTGCTCCGATTCCGAGGACGGTGTAGCGTCCGTCCAGGATCTGCCGCTTCCGCCGTTCGCCAAGATATCTCTAGATTTGTCGGCGGCTTCATCCAGACGACTGACGGTGGAACCACTCTCTGACCTGGACGATAAACTTCTCGATTAGTTCTCATAATCGGTAGAGTTAATTAATAGAGTCTATTAATCGGTAGAGTCTATTAATTTCCATTGATTATGCCTAATATTAGATGTCAAAAGAAAGACGATATTTAAAATTTCTGTCGAATATGTAAATTATTAATTTTGTAAATTAATAAATATTTAAAGAAAAATCAAATGGTATCATCAATGATATATAGGGTGTTTCAGACCATCCGTATCACCCATTTAAAAACTAGAGAAATGGTTATAGTGAGAGGAATCAATTGGTGTAAAGAAAACACATAGTTGTTTCTAAGAAAAAATATGTAATTTGCAATTAACAATTACATATTTTTTCTTAAAAACAACTGTATGTTTTCTTTACACCAATTGATTCCTCTTATTATTTTGTACATAAAAGTATTAAGGTAAGATAATGGAAAAATGAATATTTTACAAGATATTTTATGGTTTATATAAAATTAAGAAATGATTTCAAGCCTCATAAACTCGAAAAGTATTTCATGAAAAAATAATTTATTATAGTGTTTTGGAAAGCTCTCGAGGTAAGCTACAAGAAAATGCAATGAAAAATAGGGGGTTCCATTAAAAAAAATGCACTTCCGGTCTGAATCGCCTATTTCCGGCCGGAACCAGAAGTTGAAAATATCACCATTCAATAGAGCGCTGGATTTATAAAGAAAATGTTTTTATTTGTTTGAAATAACCACTTCTCTAGTTTTTAAATGGGTGGTACGGGTGATCTGAAACACCCTGTATACTTCTGTCAGAGACTATCAATTATTAGCGTCGCTAATTCACGCAATATTTTGCAGCGTCCTCACTTGAGATCGATGTCGGGCTTGACAGCGGACAGGTCCATCATCGACAGGCTCTTCTTGCAACGAGGAGTGCCGATGCCCAGGAAGCAACCGCTGGGCGGACATCGGTCGGAGCAGCTCTTGGGGATCGGTGCTGGAGTCCCGGTCCGGTTAGTCACCGACAGACCGACTGACAATTTGTAAGGCCTTCGGGATACGCGATGATCGGCGGCGCATCGGTATGGACTTGGTCGTGGATGGCATTTTACGGTCACCGGGGCGCACGGCAGCCTACGTTGCACGCATCGGGGCAACCTGGTCTCCACCCGAGTGACGGCTCCAGCTCGCGGGCCTGAAATCCGTTTCGACTGGACAGCAGTTTCCGACATATCGCCGTTTGCAGCTTGCGCATAAAATTCGGATCCTCGAATGCGATCGAGATTGTTTGCGGCTCTCGTCATGGGGACAGGGATTTGAAAGCTAGCCGAACAAACGACTGATATCCATCGGGGGTGATTCTATAATTCGGAAATTCAGGAATTTTGCGCTTATAATACAGGATAAACGCATATAACTAGATTTGTCTCTCGAATTATAGATGGAGTAGGCTTTATAGTCGGGATGTAAAGAAATCGAAATGAATCTTTAAATAGTAATTTTTCGGTCCTAAAAATGTGAACACAGAAAAAAAGGACATTCTTGTTTTGAAAATATATTTAATTTTAACATGGAAATCTTGAAATGAGATTATATCGCATTAATTTAAGAAGAATATAATTGCTCGAATAAAGTCATTTTATATAGTTCAATCGAGAAAAATATATTCTTATGATTTAAGATTTAATTTTCTTTAATGGAAAAGAAACAATGTTGGATAGAAAATAACATTTTTAAATTAAATATTATAATTTTCTTAAAGTAGAATCAAATAATTATATATTCTTGAGGTGACAATTACAATATTAAAATAAGACTAATATTTTTAAAATTATTAAATTTTTCTGAGAAGACTATAAATTATTGCGTATATACGAAACAATGAACGCGTTAGTTTAATTATATAAGTTTTGATTTGACACTTATTTTTTTTCTGTGCATAAGCTCACGGAAAAAAAGGACATTCTTGTTTTGAAAATATATTTAGTTTTAACATGGAAATCTTGAAATGAGATTATCGCGTTAATTAAAGAAAAATATAATTGCTTGAATAATTGCTTACTTGAATAAAGTCATTTTATATAGTTCAATCGAGAAAAATATATTCTTATGATTTAAGATTTAATTTTCTCGAATGGAAAAGAAACAATGTTGGATAGAAAATAACATTTTTAAATCAAAGATTATAATTTTCTTAAAGTAGAATTAAATAATTATATATTCTTGAGGTGACAATTACAATATTAAAATAAGACTATAATATTGTTGAAATTTAAAATTATTAAATTTTTCTGAGAAGACTATAAATTATTGCGTATATACGAAACAATGAACGCGTTAGTTTAAGTATATACGTTTTGATTTGACACTTATTTTTTCTGTGTACGTTTAATCTGCTATTCCAAAAAATATTGTTTACCAATGTGTTCAACGTTTCTAACAAATTCCGATATCGCCATCAAATAGTATCCCAGGTAACAAGTACACGTCATTTTGACTTTCCAAATTGGTCATTTTTGGTCATATATCGTCAAAACTGATTTGTTATATGACTTTATATTGACGTCTTGACGTAACATTATTTTGACGTGACATTTTAGTCATAAACTGATGATTTTTATTATTAATGTGATTAGTTAGTACATCGATCCTATAAAAAAATCTTTTAAATTTTTTTATATAACATGACTTTCGCGATCAGACTTTAACAATTTTTCTTTCAATGCATGCGTTTATCTATGTATAACTCATGTTGCTTAACCACTCAAGTGTTCATTAAATTAGTGCACAATAAAAATACTAGCTATATCAATCGAGTATAATTAAAGTGCCAAAAATATACACATCTTTTTATGATACAGTTGATTGGCAAAATATATTTTTATAAAATGCGGGCAACGAAAGACAACATTATTTGTTGAAATTTTATATGATATTAAAAGTAAGTTTATTTATGTTTAAATATATAAAATAATAAAAACAAAGATGCGACCTATTTTCTTACCATATTTATTATTGTATTTTCTAGCGTTTCCAAATAAAGCAGTTTAATCGATCCGAAATTTCTCTGAAGAATAGAATAATGGCTGTAATTGTTCAATGATACTCTCGATTTTAGACAGTCACTTTGACGTCACTAAAAACGTCACTCGTGACATCAAGAATAGAATGAAGAATAAAGTGAACCAATTTAAAAGTCAAAATAACGTATGCTTGCTTTATACACTTAGACATTTATAGCAATTGAATTACATAATAAAATAAACCGTTTAATTATCATCGAGACCGCTCGATCGAGCAAACATCGGCGACTCCTCGTAAACACTTTTGTAACGACGCCACCGCTTCTTTGTGTCGCTTGACAGCTCTAAACGGGCACGTGCGGCTGACATTTGGACGAGATATACATTCAGAATTTTGCACGCGCCATTCGAGTGCAGTCAAGGGCATCAATGACTTTCCGCGATCCTTGTCGGAAGAGCAGTCGTCAACAATTTAACATAATTTGCATGAAGAAAGTTCGATCGCAGAAGCGTACCCAATATGTCAATCCACATGTGTACCGCGTATTCAATCGTATTACGCGGTGCTAGCCTCGCGCGCGTGTGCGAGATCCCTCCCCCCCCCCGCGTCCCTCTTACGTCGGTCAAGTCAATCACATTCTGAGTCAGTCGCTACCTACCGTCCGTCCGCTGTGCACCATCGCGATTTACGTCACGAGGATCGCGACGAAACGCAGTAGAAGCTCCCGCCTCGAGGACGGGACGAGGGTCGCCTCGGCGAGATAGTTGCTCTTCTTCCTTCCTCCGTCTCTCTCTCTCTCTCTCTCTCTGGTCGCAGGGAAAAATTCTGAAAAGGACACTCGTCGTGTCTCGTCGCCGATTCGCTGACGCGAACAACGCGAGGCGCGAAATCAGCCTGGCCACGAGAGCATCTTGGCAGGTTGATTCCTGCAGCAGGCAAGTCTTCCCTCTCTTTCTCTATTTTTCTTGGTTTATTATGTATGTACTTGTGCACACACACGCGTACATCAAGTATATTATGTGGGTATATATGTGTATACATATATATATATATATATATATATATATATCTTTCCTTCTTGCTCTTCCTCTCTTTCCCGTCACATTGTCCTACGATAGTTTAATTATAGATACGTGGCCTGTACGGGCCTAGGCTTTCCCAAAATAATGATTGGATCAGCGTTGTATCCCTCCTCACGCTCCACTTTCCCCCGGGACACTTGCGTGCAGTGTTTCTGGACGTGCATCCGAACAGCTGTCGTTCCAGGGCCCGAAGGCTGCGCGTGAAAATTACGCTCGACCTCCTGGTTTCCGCAGCCGATGCTGACTCGATACGTCTTGCGACTCGTCACACTTTTCTATTAAGAGGGTCGAATGTATATATTGGGAGTTTAGAGAATACGCTGGTGTGAAAAAGATTCTTTCAAGATATGTAAGATATGCGACTCTTTATTGTAGCTTACAAGTTTGTTAAATTAGAATTTTGGAGATGTAAGGCATTCATTTGTAGAATTATATCAACACCATGGCTAAATAAGGTATAATTATGTTTCAGATGGACAAAGTTCAATGTATTAAACACTCACAGTCATGGAACAATACAATGGTATGAATGATGGAAATATTAATATAAGCGATATTAGTAAGTATATCTCTCTCAGAGATATATATATATATACACATTACAGAGCGTTATATATAGCTCGCTTAACACTCTGTTAATTTTAGTCGAAGTCATTCAAACTACGGATCCTGGTTCCATGGCTACTATAGCGATGGATAATGATCATGTTCAGCCATATGTTGAAATTCTAGAACAGCCAGCCAGTAAAGCCCTGCGATTTCGCTATGAGTGCGAAGGCAGATCGGCTGGCAGCATACCTGGGGTCAACAGCACACCAGAAAACAAGACCTTCCCTAGTATAAGAGTAAGCTACGTCAATTATTGAGAAATTCTTCGAGTCATTTCTACCTACTTATAATATTAATATTTTTCTAGATTATGGGTTACAATGGTCGCGCTATGGTGATTGTATCCTGTGTAACAAAGGATGCGCCGGATAACAAAGGATATAGACCTCACCCTCACAATCTTGTCGGCAAAGAAGTGTGCAAGCAAGGTGTTTGTAAAGTAGAAGTTCCAGCGGGAAATATGGTTGTTACTTTTTCAAACTTGGGCATTCAATGTGTAAAAAAGAAGGATATCGAAGAAGCTCTTAGAGTGCGTCAGGAATTGCGGGTAGATCCCTTTCGAAGTATGTGTATGACCTTTTAATTTACTATAGGTATAACTTGATCGAAGATTATGAAAAATTGTAATTATTGTAGCTGGTTTTGAGCATAAGAGGCATCCAACTAGCATAGATCTTAATGCAGTGAGATTATGTTTTCAAGTATTTTTGGAGGGATCGCAAAAGGGAAAATTTAACAAGCCATTACCGCCTGTCGTGTCTGATCCTATTTATGATAAAAGTATGTAACGTTAAGCGTGTTATTTTATAGAATAATATAATGTAAAACATCTATATCATATTTGGGGTAAAATTTTTTATTTATTATATATTGTAGTAAATAAAATATTAACCTATTTATTATATATTATATATTTTTTATTTATTAAATTTCAGAAGCAATGTCAGATCTCGTGATTTGTAAACTGAGCCATTGTAGCGCGTCAGTCGCTGGTAGTATGGATATGATTTTATTATGTGAAAAAGTCGCAAAGGAAGACATACAAGTAAGATTTTTCGAGGAAAGAGACGGGCAGCTACTCTGGGAAGGATATGGCGATTTTCAACCAACACATGTACATAAACAAGTGAGTCAATAATTGCCTTATTTGTGGTCACTTTGTATTAAACTATAAATTATTCATTAATTATAATAGTTGCGATACTTGAAAAAGTGCGATTTATCTATTTGAAATGTAACGATGTTTTTTTTTTATAGACGGCAATTGCATTCAGAACACCCAGCTATCGTACGCAGCAAGTGGAACAGCCGGTGCAAGTTTACATTCAACTTAGAAGGCCATCGGACGGTGCCACAAGCGAACCTTTACCATTTCAGATGTTACCACTAGGTACAGGTAGGCCTGCTTTCTGGTCATTACGAAAAGCATTTGCCAGGAAGAAGGCAGATTACAATACCTTTAGTAAAATCTTGGCAACAGAGACCGCTCTCCTTGCCAATGTAACTCCCAAGTTTCCGCGTAATATCGATGAATTCAACAATAATGATCTCGACGCGAAAAAACCGCATGATAAAATCTCTGCATTGCGCGCTCTAAACGAGTTGTACAATGTGAAAAATCATATCGACTTTTGCAATGGCGATTTAAAAACGATAATAAATTCTGCTCAAAACGTAGATCGAGGCACGAAAAGTACCGTTTTAGATTACGAGAACAATGAGGTGACAATGAGCCCCGAAAATAACGCGGAGAGCAAAAAAGAAATTAACAAATTGTATATTCTTGGCGATAATAACGTAAATAATGACACGCTTCCTGTGAACTATAAGGAGGGAATTGTCGAAGCGGTTCCATGTAAGAAACCCGACATACCAGATAATGAGACAACCGCGTCCCAAAATATAGATAACTCGAAAAATAGATCCGATTGGTTCGATTACTCTGAAATAGGCAAGTGGGTGCAAAAGGGACAAGCATGTCTTAAGGAAAAGAGCAACGAGACGGCGGATAAAAATACGACGGAGAGCGGCAATAAATCATTGAACGAATTCTTGTCGCAAGTGGCCGAGCTCGATCAAATTTACGCCGATACTCATAACAAATTGGCACAAGCTTCTACGGAGACAAACGCAAATCAAATGATGGACGTTGACGTTTGCGACAATCAGACTTACACCAGCCTGCAAATGGCCATGAAGAATCCGATTGAGTTGTTTGACATCACCGATGACAGAAAATACGAGGACGTGGCTGTTCCGAGGCAAGACGCGGAGATACCTGTGCCATCTCCGACATCGGCTCCTAAGAGAGATGTGACGAGCGAGGCGGAGGAAAGATTACCACCATTGCCCCCGAAGCGAATACGAAAAATGCCGTCGATGCCTCTTTTACCGCGTCCAATATCCGCTCAGACGTTCAACGATTCCTCTTCCGAGGCACCGAATAAAAATTTGCCGTCTTTACCCGGCACTTTATCGAAGCACGCGAAGCAGGGCCTCTTCTCGAAATTGTTTGCTAAGAAAAATAAGAAAGATAAATGCTCAGTATCGAATTTAAGCGGAGATAGCGACTCGTTAAATAGTTTGTATTCATTAAAGAGCGTGCAAGACGATACACAACTTCCACGTCCTAGCATCACGAGTGTTACGAGCGTTAAATCTCTCAAGTTAGACGGCGATGAAACCCCACCGTATGGTTTAGATTTAACCGAAGCGGAACACTACGCTCTATACACCACTATGGCACCGCATGCGACTGCCTCAGAATTTGATGATTTGTCTTTCTATTATAGTCTAGTCGAAGGTGGAAAGATACTGATGGAGGGAAAAGAGACCTAAACTATTTGTTTAATTGATATCTTTGTTATACTGCCGAGTTTTGAAAACAACTTTATATTTGTATGAAGATATTGTGATTTGAATCTGGCGAGTTTTGTCTACCAAAGTGTGTAGGGTATTATCTCTGCTGCACACATTGCAGCCAATCCTTTATTATATTGTCGGTTCTTGTTGTAACAAATTTCTAGAGCTTTGATAGAACTGACGTTTGTATTGTTATATCCAAGATTTCTCCATGGAATAAGAAACTTGAAAGCTATTTCTTAAAACATGTTTACCATGTTAAAACGGATTGATTTATGTAACTGTAATATCGACGCATTTATCCAAGTACGCAGAGTTCAAGTCTAGTCGAATCGTGATTTGTTACCTTTTGCTTAATATCTTTTTCAACGGTTTTTATAAACTTTCTATAATTGTTATTTATTATCAAAGTAATTAATTATCTTTTCTAGTCAAGTTTCACATGCTGTTATGTTTTCGTATTCTCTAATAATGCTTTACTATTTTCTTGTTAAGTTTTAGACGGTATTATTAGTTTATACAATTATCTTTTTCTTTTCATGTTGTTGTAGATTGTTAATTTTAAAAATGTTTTGACAAAAATTTTGTCTACCCTTAATAATCTTGGTTTATTTGTCGATTCTCCTTTTTAAATGACTTTATTGATACATGTATGCTAACGAAAATCTTAAAGTTTACGAGGCCTTCATTCAACCGAATGCAATTAGGTCAATATAATGAAACTTTATTAACATACAATCATTTATAGATGATGCCGATTCGTTAAGGCGAAAGAGACAAAAACTTAATAACAACTCAAGCTCGATACTTTTCAAACATGTAGCAGAAACTGAGAAGCGTGAGTATATATTTGCAAAATTACTTCTAATTCTACAGCTTGGGGAATTAGGATTGGACAACATTGCAACAATGTGTAAAAATCATACTATTTATTTTTACATCACGTTTCTCACTGAAGGAATGAATGTCAAGCTAATCTCTTATTGTGACGCAAAATCTTCGAATCATTTTTCCATCTGCTGTAATCGAGATTGTGCTACTGGTATTTTCTACATACTCTTTGTACAGAAAAAAATAAGCTTATGGAACGAGAGGCCTTTTACTACAATGAAATTTATGAAGATTTTGTACATTTTAGCAGAGACCTATTTGGTACATTTGTTAATTGTTATAAATAATGAATACGATAAATTTGTTAAGAACATTTCTGATAAAACATACGTGCAAAGTTACAGAAGCTACAGTATCTGTATGAACGCCTGTATAAATTTTTGAATGTTCAGTTATTCTCATGTCTCATTGCATACACTAACCATCTATTAATTAACCCAATCCCTTTACACTTTGAAAATATATAAGATGCACAGTTTTGGAAATTTTTATAAAATGTAATATAAAGCGCTCTAATACGCATTATTAAAATGCATACATATGATTTTGCTTCATTCGCATTTTCAGTAAACTGTAAAAATGGTTGATTTCATAGTGGAAAGGGAGGCTTATCGAATATAAAATTCATTATATCTATATATATTTTCACATGTAGACAAGCAGTCTTGTTTTATACTTTTTTCTAGAGATGTATTTTATATAAAAATTTTATATATAAAAACTTTTTATATAAAAACTTTTTATATAAAACTTTAAAGTTTTGCGTGAGGATTTAAAGAATTAGGGAGCAGTGAGCTTGTATATTTTAAGATACGACGATATATTGTATTTTTCTATTTACGAATATTTATATAAATATGATAATAATTTCGAGAAGCAAGTTTTACAACCTACAGGTCTTATAAAAGGGATTTGTTATCTGGATAATTATCTGGAATCATTATGCATGACAATAGGTATTTGTAAGTAAAAAAGTTTTATAGCTCAAATCTTGAGCGTGATGCGAGCGCGCTGCAATCTTGTGCAATCAATATTATACTTTGAAAGTCAGCAGTATATATATATATATACATATAGCAAAATTATAGCATATAGTACAATCAAATGATGTGCAATATTTATACGACAACATAATTTTTATAAGCTGCTTCTTTCGCAAACAGATGAATATATTGTACGAATTACATATATTGTGTAATTATATATACATCTATATACATATATATGCATAATCATTTGGTAAAAGAAAGTGTCTTTATTCTCTGCTCCTATACAATTTCAGACCAAAATTTACTTATACATGTTGCAGACTCAGGTACGATATAATGATGTTAGTGTGACGTGCAAGTAGTTTTGTCAATAATTTTAAATTAGACATAGAATTGTGATAATGTTTGAATAGCATAGCAAATGTAGTGTGTTTTCAGTCATTATTAAAATCAATTTATAAAGTGAAAATATATGAAACGGCGCATGTGTATATGATGCATATGCAATAAATCACGCTTCTTCATCCACTACTTTGCATGTTCTTGCTTATTATTGCTAATGCTAAATCATATCAGATTCTCATGCTGTGTGGAGAATTTGTTTCTGTAAATAAATGCATGTTTATTTACTTGGCACATGCATACATTGTTGCTGCAACATTTTAGGTGTCAGAAATCAACCTATTAGTTTTAATATCGTCAAAGCTGAACCGGCTGGCCGGATATCGCCATTCGGAGGTCTGGCAAGTACAAGTGCGGGAAATTTCAGTCTGCAATCTGTAAGATCGTCTTCACAACCGCATGGTAGCATGCAAGCCCTAAGGTATATTGACAATCCAAATTAAAATTACAAAGTTCAAGTACAAATAAAAGTAAGAATATGGAAAAAATAGGAGATTAATATATATATATACGAATATTAATATACTTATTCTATTTTAGGCCTCAGGTATCTCCTGGGCGGACACCATCCCCTATGGAATATAGCACCTACAACCCGTCTCTCGTGCAACAGCAGTATCAACCAAATATCCACCCAATAATGCCAAACGTGCCTGTGTCGACGGACGTACAGGCATTTTCTTACATAGACCAATTGCAATTGCAACCAGAACCTAATTTAATGATGTTAAACAGAGTAACTTTAGGGACTCAAGAAGAATCCCACCCAGCGAATAATATTAGTAAATCTTTGTTTTTAATATTACACAATTTTGATGCATATAATCCACACTTTGAGAATTTTAATCGATTAAACATTTATTTTATTGCTGATATAAATGTTGTGTAGGCAATGCAGGAGCCCCGTGCCTTCTGGACATGGATAGTCAACAATTCAATTTTGACTGGAATTCCGCTGATCTCGCGGATTTTGGGGCAAATCTCTCTGCAAATCTATCGACTGGATTATCTATATCCGACTCTATACAAGTTAGTGGACAAACACAAATTAGCATGTAACATATTATGCGCAGCTAAATTTTGAAAATTATTGCAAGAATTAATTATTTTATTTCCCAATCTTAGCCTGAAATTGGGAGCAATGTCGAAGAAAGAAACAGTATGACCGAGCGCATTACTTGGATAAACCAAGAACTTTCTGCTTTGAATAAGATACTCAAACCTAATCGAGAAAATGATGGCTGAGAACTTGATTAAAATTACTTATCGATTAATATTGCGTCTGATGCCGAAGTGATTATAAAAAATTGCAATCGAGACTTGCAATTGGCCTCATCTGTAATTTATATATTACAAGTGCTCTCTCTCTCTCTCTCCATTGCCTTTTTTTTAAAAGAAAAAAAAATTAATCGAGCTATAATTTCCGACATATATAAAATAATATTTCACGTAAAAAAAATATCAAGAGAGTGCGCAAGAGATAATTTTGCGTTTTGATCGTTTCTACTCACAATTTATATCTTTTTTGTATATACTCAATTTATATCTTATTTATAAAAATATAAAAGAAATTTACAATAATGAACAAAAAATTCCATATATTTGTTTAGACAAGTGTAACACGTGATTTAAGTATATTAGTATACTCATCGATGAATGTTAGTTTAAACAACAACGTAACGGAATCTTAATATTAAATTAATTGTGATACGATTTATTTGATAGTTATTCTACGAGCATTGTGTATATTATCTACTCAGGATAAGTTGTTCAGTCGGTCATAGAGCTGATGTTGGGCAAGATATCTATAATATTTACTTGTCGACGTCACAAATTGAAATGTTAAGTTAATTTGAGATAAAACGATTGAGATAATGTTGAAACGTGTGATCAAAGTTCATAGTTCGTATTTCATAATAGATTCTACGATACTCTTAATGCAAATATGAATTCCGCGCGACAAGCAGAACAAATTGTCGAGATCAACTTTTCACGAGTTTATATGCAATAATTGTAAATTTAAATTAAAAGTATATTTGTACGAGCAATTTTTCTCGTTTTTTTACACTTGTATTATTTCGCTTCACTTTTGTTCTTTCCCTTTTATGCACAATTACAATTTTCTACAAAAAACTATGTTTATAAATCTGTATATTTGTAATATATATGATTATATGTTTAGAAATAATGTTTTGATATACTCGAAAAAAAGCGTACGAAAGGTATTGAAATTAGCGTACTCAAAAAATTCATCAAAGGATGTTCCGTCCAGATATCTCTTTTTTATGTACATATATTTTGCAGTTTTTTAAATTTAAGAATATCATGTATGTAGAAGAGGACATGTATGTGGAATTATCTATCATTTTATTAGATTAAGTAAATATATGGTAATATGTGCAATAACATTGTCTTAATGTAAAGTATATTTTTACAATCACATCTCTCAGGTAATTTATTATTATATATAATATATATATATCTCTATAGAACAAAAGAGGATATGTATGTTACAAAGAAAACCAATATCATATTTATAAGAACTATACTCTATAATTAGCCATATATACTTGTATACAAATAAAAAGAGCATTATTATAAATATAAGAGTGAGAGATTGACTTTTTAATAATCTCACATTTCGTATATAAATTTTGTAATTTTTATTGTAGTTTATACAGTATATATGTCATGCATAAGTATCTTTTGATGCAAGTGAAGACATCAGATGAGAATCATGCACAGGATATATAGAAAATGAAAAATAGTCAATTGTGTGTGGTATATATACACACGCGTCGAGTCTTAGTTTACTGCGTGGTATCGTTTTTCTCTATAAGCACTTAATATCCTGTTTTTAAAGATACAACAAAAGTGTATATTTACAGTTATAACTGTATATTTACATAACATTGATCGATAAGTGATGAACTCCTATACTTAGCATGAAAAAGTCGGCAGTGGACGCTTGGATTATCTCGTAAAATTGTATAGCTTACATGTACATGTATGTATAATTTTTCTCTCTTCTCTCTTTCTCTCTCTCTCTCTCTCTCTTTCGTGGCACGTGTACGCGAATGTTGCACAAATGTATTCGCAAAGTACATTATGCAAGTATATATAATGTCGATATAATATCTAATTATTTTGAGCGGGGAAAGAAATATTTTTTTTTTGCTTCACATATATATGTACATACACATGTGAAGAATAAAAAAAACATCCATAATATTGTTTTCCAAAATGTATTTACTTAAAAATACAATGAAAGTTTCAGTTCTGATGGAATGGGCAGAAATATATAGAGTCTGTGGCGTGTCGGTTATACTGTTACACGTTGAAAGAGATGATGCGATGGTATCCTGTACAAAAGTAGCTTGAACAAGAGACTTATGAACACACAAACCAAATTCTTAGCCTAGGATCTTCGTTTACGTTTAAAATTCGTGTCAATAATAAGATTTTATGTCTTAAACTTTTTTCATGCTTACCTAACGTAGGGATGTAACGGATTGTATGTGTGGGCGATCAGCCTGATTGATTATAAGACCCGTTAGCACCAGTAAGTGAATTTTCCGAATCGCGTCGAGTACTCGAGCGCAAAGAGGAATACCGTACTCGCTCTCTGCTCGGTACCGATACTTGGGAACAGGCTTGACACAGTACAAGACGCAAGTCTCTCTGGAAAGTACGTTGCCAACGGGGCTTGATAATTATATATTTAATAAAATTAAACGGACCTATACTTATATGTATGTATAGTATATAGTATACTATGTGAACGCGCTAAAGTACTGATTTTGTTCCAGGCACCTGTACTTGAAGATAGTCCCTTGCCAATTTGCAATCGTCAAGTTACTATCTTGAAGCAAACACGTGTAAATTTTACAGCAGCAGCAGATTGCGTATAAAACCGTAGATTAACAGACTGCCGGAAATAATGATGTGTACGCATCACATTTTGACATCGATCGGCTGTTGGACGCGTTACATATGTGTTTATGAGGAGTATTAAAGTTTTCTTTTTTTTTTCTTTCTGCATCATCGTTCGACGGTAAGGGATTTCTTGTAAGTATCAACGTTACAACACGGTCCAATCCCCCATCTCCTTGGTTTCCAAATAGCGGGATTTTAGTCCGTGGATAGAAGCAGCCCTTACACTGCCTGCCATCTCCTCACAATTCTCTCATTTCAGATATTAAAACCTATCACTACTTATGAGAACGAATTCATTTTCTCTGATCTAACTGCGTTTTATTTAACTATCTCATTCGAAAATATTTGTACATTAAAACGTGGGACATCTTCTCGCATTCAAATTATCGTTATCTTTATTTAATTATTATGCTGCTATGGTACAATGGTATAACCGCAATGTCTCTGCACCCTTTTATCTAACAGTCTCCCGAAAATAAGTAGCGGCATGGACACGCCAATCGCAATGATTCACCGATTCTTGCACAAAGAGCCGTCTTTTTAATTGTCAAACCAACGAATTAATCCGTCCGCAATGTGATCGTGTCACAAAAAAAAAATATTAAATATCTTTATATTTAAATATTTTTAACGCGAATCTGACGAATGTACAATTCTTAAGACAACGCGAATCGTTATGTATGTGGAAAACTGTAAGAATGAATAAATACTGCCGATTCATTCTGCACTAGTCAACGAATCATTGCTACAAGTAGTCCACTATAAAATCAAGATAAAATCATGATACATAAAAGTAACTGAAACGCGCTCCAATTACGCTCAAATAAGAACATTCGAATAGGGAGAGTAAGAGTACTTATTATATAATTGCGACAATATGTAGTTCAGATTTCTTTTTCTTTTGTAATTTTGCGTCATGTACGGCAGTTCTGGAGTTATAAATATATATTTATCTATAATTGAACTCTTACCTTCTACAAAAATTATATATGTATATATATGTATATATGTGTGTATATATATATATATATATATTATATATAAATATATATATATATATATATATATATATATAATTTATTATATATTTATATATATATATATACATATATATATGATTGAAATGAATCGAGAAGGGTAATGGTGCCCTTACACTTTACAAGTTGACTGTTCGATGCTCTCCCTTATCTATGCCCAAGCCTAAAGTGTAACAACCTCTCCGCGTTATATTACGTTTACATAATATTATCGTTAATAATAAAATGTTTCTTATCCCATAACTTTATACATACTATGTATAATTATTATGCAATATTAAAGTCACATATTACTCATCCACACTACCTGACGCGAGCGTTAATCTTAATTCCTGTCTCTATACCAAACAGGAGCACGAAGCGGTATTGTATTACATCTATATTTTAAGAATTTTTTTTTGTTTTAGTGTACATATTGAATGCCGAGAGATGTCCATTCGTGCCTATTTTAATTCCATTTATTTGCCGCTCGTTACGTATGAATTACTTAATTCTGCTCGATAGCCTCGCGCTCCTGTGAAGACACTGCAATTACACATTTCAATTTAAGAAGGAGAACTCAATATATCACACGCACAAGGTGAGAGACATTCGTCAAACTACAAACGTAAATTTGATTTTAAATGTAAAAAAAATCACCTTCGAATTCATTTTACAACTATTTAAATATAATAGTTTTTTTGTATATCTTAAATAAGTTTCATTATATAAAATGTTGTCCCGACGAAGAAAGCCAGATGACGGCAAATACCTGTTAGTAGGTGGTTCGGATAAAACGATAGATTCGTCGTGGGAATTCGCGCGAACAAACGATCGAAATAAGAATCTGAATAGCAAGTAGAATGAACCCCGCCGAGTCCACAGGACGAATATACAGTTATCATTCAAACTACCTAATAGCATTTGGTGACGGCTAGACTACCAGAATTGCGAAGAGCCAAGACAAGAGGATTGCGTTCGCATCTAATGCGTGTCAGCCCACCACAATTCCGGTGAGGTGGTAATTTTTAGTTGTAGGTCGGAAGAGAGAGGATCCAGTAACACGGATTGGGCACGATGGATATCAACATTATTACCAACCACTCAATATGAGAGTAAGTTTGCTGAGTTTGCCGAAAATCGACGATGACGCCACGTGCCTAACGCCTCCCTTCTTAGTTACATATTCCTCCCCCTTCTTTCATTATGCGTCCTCTTCTTCGTCTTCTACTTCACCTTCTACTTCACCTTCCGCATCGTCATCTTCCTCATCTGCAATATAAGGAACTGATTAGTTTATCACGTATTTCTCAAGAGGGAGATTTATCAAAGGAACAATCCAAGAAATTATCGCTCATCTACCTTCTCCCTCTTCCAAATCTTCTTCGCCTTCAGGTATGTCGTCGTCGTCGTCATCTTCCTCTCCGTCACCGTCTGCCTCCTCTTCGTCTTCGATTTCATCTTCAACTTCGTCTTCTTCTACCTCACCATCTCCGTTCTCTTCTTTTTTCTGTTTTTTTGTTTCCTCATTTTTCTCCTACAACATGGAAAGACTTATTTAAAATAAATTCTCGACACACAAACAAGTGACTTGGCGGCAAATATGTATAAGGTAAAGATTTATTTTGCGATCATCATTTATTCCAAGGGACTACAAGAAGGGGTTTACATCTTTTTGTAATTTTTTTTCAGCTATCAAAGGGATGATAGGGAGACGAGAAAATTTAGCTTTGCGCGGCGGCAGCGACAGCGGGAGAGTCAACCAATAAGGACAGAGAAAAGCGTACCGGCCGGCGAGGAGGACAAGGTCCCTTCCCGCCAAGAAATACGACGGCGAGGAAAGAGAGATGGTGGGGACTTTCCCTGCGCGTTAAAGCAGGATGGGACAGGAAAAGGGAAATGGCGGAGGGAGTCGCGTCTGAGTAATCTGTCGGCGATGCCAAAAACACGAAGGACAGGTAGTAGAGAGTATCGCCACTTTGCCGAGAAACGCTTCGAGCTGCTCTCCTTCTCTCTCTTTCCCGCAACATCATCACGCGCTGAAGGCGAGAAGGAGACCGGTTGATGGTCCAACTAAGAGAGGAAAACGCGGGAATGTACGGTCTATCTCCCCGATAGTAGAATCATGCCCTTGATCCAGTCCCGATGGCCCGAAACGACCATAAAACGCGACAATAAATCATTATAGTTTATCGATTCCGAGGGGAAGTGCGTGCTGCGAGCAGCCAGCGACGAAGCTTGCTCCGAGGGCGATTTGAAAACGTGCCGCGAGGACTTTGGAGTCGCGTCAGGCGATCTAGCTCCAGCAACAGGATTCTCGAATAATTCGCTTCTGGACACGTCGTCCAGGGTGTCGAGGCAACAACGGTTTCCGACATTCGGCATGTTCGAGAGAGCCGCGTCGGTAACGCCGATCAGTGGTGGGGCGATAACGCTGGCGATGATGATGATGGCGGGTGGTAGTGGTAGTGGTAGCGACGGCGGCGGTGGCGATTGCAGCCGGCTGGTGTGTGCGGGGTACACGCGCCGTGCATATCGGCGGCTGCGAGAAAGCAGCTTCGGATGCGCGCGCGGCGCCGCGTCGGCCAATCGGGGGCGCGCGCGGCGCCGCGTCGGCCAATCGGAGGCGCGCGAGCCGGCGACGCGCGGTGGGAAGCCGGGCGGTGATTGGCAGATGACGAAGTCGCACGCCGCGGCGGGGAAGGGAGGGGGAAGGGAGAAGGGGGGACACGGTTCGCGTTGCGTACAATCTACGAGGGAGGGAGGGAGAGAGAAAGCGCGACGCGCGAGGGGAAGATAAGGGAGGAAGATACCGGAGCAGCGTGCCAAGTGTCGCGTACAAACGCGAAGGCTTCGAATAAGAGAATAAATCCAAACTAAAAGAGAACGAAATATTACGTGGCGTCGAATGAAGCGGGAGGAGGGGGGAAGGATTACCGGAAGTGACCGGCGGCAGGAATGTCGGATCGAGACATTTGACGCTGAATCGATGTTACGCACTTTCCTCCCTCTCTCTCTCTCTCTGTCTCTCCCACAGTAATTGTATCGTCGTATATGGTCGACCTGTTGCGATAAAATGCTAATAAAGGATCGGTTACCGACGGCGTCTACAAACAATGGAAACTCGATCGACGAGCTGACGCGCGCATTACTTCGAACTTGTTGCCGCTTCTATCCTCGTTCGAGTTTGTCGATTCGCGAACGTTCGGCTGGACGCGAATAACAGCGACGCATTCGCGTTGGTCCGACAAGGACGGACGACGACGAGGACGACGACGACGACGCTGCCATCGCTCGTTATCCCCGCGCGATTACCTATCTACCCATTCCCAATCACGAGGTCTCGCTAGATAACCTAATGCTTCCAATCGCGTAGATTCGTTTTCTTGCATTAAATTCCTCGTTAATCGACGCGATGAATATTGCTTATTACGTAATTAAAGCACGACGTCGATCGAATCTCGATGGATCATCGACGAGATTGCGCTCCAAACGACTTCGTCCTTGTCGGAAACCGAAGCGGAAACGCATCGACGCCGGATTTTCCCTCTTATCGGGACGATCTTGGTTTCAGCGGGAGACGGATCAATCTTGGACGATCGTCGGTCGAATAAACGAGAAGCGATTGGCCGCAACGGCTTGCTCGGTAAAAACGGATTAATTAAGATAATTAAGCGATAAAAAGGTGTTTGCGGCGAAGCCGAGGACGGTCGCGTCGGGAGACACGACGATAACCGTTAAATGCAATAAGTTATTTCTGGCTGGCGGCACATCGATCCACGCAACTAACGTTATCCGATCGACGCGACGCCTTTTCCCGCCTTCTCTCAATTCGCTCCGAGCGGCCCGAATCGCGCCGACTCCCGGCGCGCGCGTCTCTCGTATCGATACCAATACCAAACGGCGGCAATTTCGGGCCACGGGGCCGAAATAGCGAAGCCGGACAATTTCTTCTCCTCGAGAAGGACCGTCATCGACGACCAGAAGCGACCGCGATTCCCCGGATTCGCCTTTTCTCCCGCGACCTCGACAGCTTCCCGCCTTTTCCCGCCTCGTTCCCCAGCGATACTATCGCGCATAAATGTATACAATATATAGTTGTTTGGTATATGTTATATATAAATATTATATATATTATATGTTATATAAATATTATATAATATTAAATATTATTTAAATATTATATATGTTATATAAATATCATATATATTATATGTTATATAAATGTTATATATATATTTATATTTATATATATTATGTTATATAAATGTTATATAAATATTATATGTTATATAAATATATATATATAAATGTTATATAAATATTATGTTATATAAATGTCATATAAATGTTATATAAATATTATATGTTATAAATATTATATGTTATATAAATGTTATAAATATTATAAATATAAATGTTATAAATATTATAAATATATGTATATAAATATTAATAAATATCTACATGTTATATAAATATTAAAAAAATATATATATGTTATATAAATATTATATAAATGGTTACTGAAGGAGGGACGGTGGAAAATGGATATTCTTTTGGAGCTTGTCGTCGAGCCGGCAGAGACTGATATCGGCGCTGGACGTAATATAGCGAGCGGCGTTGGGTGCGTGTGTCATTTACGCGGGGTCCTTTCCACGTGACGCGGCGAGATGACACGACACCATGATGCGACTCGACTCTGCGCTCGTTTCCACGGCCTTCCTTGCCCCGGAGCGCAATCGCATGGTAAATTATCGGCTAAAAATAAAGCCTATCTGCGGCAACGCGACGACGCTCGTCCGCGCGTGTGATTCAAGATGAAAAGTCGCGGCGACGATGTTTTCACGACGGTTCGTAGGAACGCGCGCGGTCGCCACAGCCGCGAAAAGAACAGGGAGGCAGGAGAGTACACCGGGTATATAACGCACGGCGTTGCCGCTAGCTGCGCAAGTGGGGTACCTTCGGTGAAAAAGATGGAAAGAGAGAGAGAGAGAGAGAGAAAGATGGAACAGCCGCCGCCGAGCTTCTACATCGACGGAGCGTCGAGGACGGACAGAGAAAGAGCGAGAGGAGGGGGTAGGAGGGAAAAGGAAGCCTTGGTCGCCGTGTTTATGCACGCAGATCGGTAAACAATTTCATGGCACCGTGTCGACCCGGAGTGGACGTGCGAGGGCGGGCTATCGATCGACCGTCGTGCGCGATTAACTCTCTTATAGCGAATTATCGATCAATTACGCTCGAGAGAAAGAGAGAGACAGAGAGAGGAGGAAGAGAAAGGGAAAAAGAGATGGCGCGAAAGAGAGAGGACGAGCGGCGAACGCGGGCTTGGTTTCGGCCGCCATAATGGAAACGACGGGGCGACGTGCGAGCGCGGTCGGGAAAATGCGCGGGACGCGCTTTTCCGGATCGCGACGATGACACTGGCGCGGAGAAAAATGGCGGCCGACCGACGAGGCACGCCGCGGAGGCGGCGAGGCGTGAAAACGAAAGCGTGCGCGCGCGAGAGGCAGAGGGCGCGGGGAGGAGCCGAGGTAAACTCGCTGGACGCGAAGAGAGACATGCGAGAAACGAAGCACATGGCGCCGGAGAGAGCATTTTCTCCTCTCTCTCTCTCTCTCGCTCTTCCACGCGCGCGGCGCGTTGCCTCGAATTTCGAAATCGCGAAACGCGGTAATTATAGATGATTCCGTTAGGAGTCGTCATCGCCGTCGTCATTATCGTCAGCCATCGAGAGCGAGCGCGCGCGCGCGCGCGCGAGAGAGAGAGAGAGAGACTCGCGGTGGCCCCGCGAATATACAATGGCGTCCCTTGCGCGTTCGCGGCGAAAAAAACACCACGTCCCTCGGAGGACGTCGCACGCGCTCGACTGCGCTCGGGGCCGCTCGCGCGAGGAAATATGGAGTCCGGCGAGGCAGCGGACGCCGGCCGGCGCGGCGTTTCTCTCCCTCGCGTCCCGTCGCCGACGCTCCCGGACGTCCCCGCGTCCCGTCCCCGAGGGCACCCGCGGGCCCCGTCGTCGTCGTCATCGTCGGCGGCGCGGCGTAGTACGAGAACGCGAGGACGGGCGGGAAAATCCACGGGACGATCTCGGGAGCGCGTCGTGGGGTGGCGAGGGACCAGCGTTTCGACTCCGACGTTCCGCGAGGAATCTCGTGAGGGCGAGATCGACGAAGGGTAGAGATAGGTACTCACCTCGGCTGGCCTCTTGATCCCCTTGATGTCGCATTTCGCGTCCGCGGATGCCTTGTCGTTCTCCGTCACCTTCTCGACGGCGACCTCGTTGTTCTCCTTGGTGCTCATGTTGCCCGTCCGATCGACGACCCTGCGACGCGTCGATAATCCAGAAAGGGACTCGCGACTTCGCGACTCGTACCGAACTCCCGGAGTGCGAAAGAGCGGCGGCGGTAGCGGCGGCGGCGGCTGTGGCGTGTACGCGTAACGAGACTACGGATACGTGTCCTCTCACGACGTCGGTTTCCGCCGGAATGCCTGAGAGAGCAGCGTCGTCAGGCGAAGACCCGAGGGGCCGCGAGGGAGAGGGAGACCGGGAGGAGGGGGGACCGAGAGGAGAGCGAGCGAGAGAGAGAGAGAGAGAGAGAGGGAGGGAGACGGAGAGAGGGGGGCCGCGAGGGGGACGGCGAGAGGGGGCGGAGGAGCCGAACCAGTCAGGAGTGGAGCGTGTGCCGACGACTGTGGCGCGAATAGCGCAGAGCGAACTACTACCGGATCACGGCACGCTCCTAGCACGTCCAACCTGGCTTTGTTCGCAAGTGAAGATGGCGCGGGTTTGAAAGCCGATAATTCCCTGATTGGTCGGCGCCGACGACGGCCCGTACGCCGACCTTACCGGGGACAATCGGCGATTTTCCGGCGGCGGGTCGCGTCCCGCGACGCCGCGATCGGCGTAGGCGCGGAACGCGTCCGCCCCGGGTCGGAATAGAATTAAAACTCGCGGAGGACGAGGGGTTCGAGAGTTCGTGGCCCGAGCGGGACGTCCGGTTCGAGGCTACGTCGCTCGATTCAAATAAGCCTTGGCGCTGCGAATCGTCGTCGTCGTCGTCGCCTACGTCGCTCTTGGAGCGCTCGAAAAAAATCGATAGATATTTCTTCGCGCTCGGGGGTTGCTTTTCGATCGCGCGACGAACGGATCGCCTCGCGAGAGCGAGCGAGCGAGAGAGAGAGAAAGAGAGAGAGAGAGAGAGAGAGAGCTGTCACGCCGCACGCACGTGTCCCGCGAACGCGGTCAAAGTGCGTGCACAAAGACGCGCGGATTAATCTGGAGTAGATAGAGGGGCCGAAATTCGTCCTGCGCGCGCCTTCACCCCTTTCGCTCTCCCCCGAGAGACGATTCTCCGTTTTCGTTGATTTGCATCGCGTTACGTAATCCGTCTTAATTAAGCGGAGCAACTCGTCCGACGCGATATCGTACGTCGGCAAAAATGCGACGCGCCATCCTCGTCTTTCCCCTTTAAAATCGATAGACGGATATATGTATGCACTTATTGTTTAGCGCACACACGCGTGATGCGCGTCGATTAATCGTCCGTGTACGCACGTACACGTACGCGCGATTATTATCGCGTAGGATTGATCGAGATGGACGAATAGATTGTTAGATTGAACCCGCCCCGGCTCGTTTATATTTATATCCCGCGTAGCGCAAATACGAAAGGGTGGCTTAATATAAGATTACGCTTATCGATTGGAGGTTTTATATACCAATTTTTTGATGCCGACCGCGTTAATGGCGTGAGATCCGATCGAGCCCGATATCTCGTAAACAACCTCCTCCCCCGCCGCTCGCCCCGACACGCGAGAGTTGGAGATTCTTGGAATGTTATAACATCGGTCCACGTCGTATTAATATTTATGCACGTGGAGCGCACAAAAAAAATGTGTACTCAAGGTTCATGAATTTGTTGCAACGCGGAGGACGTTTGCGCAGGCGCGTCGCGTTTCTAGTTCCCGTCCGCGGCGCTGCGACTTCCGGTCCGAGTCGGTTTCCCTTTTCTCTCTATTCGTTCAAGATGGTAAGTCGATGAGAGTTTTCCTACATCGGTCATTTTTATCCGCGAATATCTCCGGGATCGTTATCCTTGGACTCGTCGTGAAATTTGCATCCGCGGCCGAAATGTATCGTTTGGATTTTCCGCAAATATCTTTTGCGACTCGATATTAATTGTGACGTGACGGAACATAACCTTGTTACAGCAAAACATGTTTTGATTCAAAGATAAAATTTCGTAAATTATTTAGAATGGTTGATTAATTTCTCGGAGATAAATGACATTGTTATTCGGCAAATTTGTGCTGATGTAAAAAAAATACAAGGGATTTTAATATTGGAAAATGTTACAACTCTCTTATTTACATGCAAATTCATAGATATTATTTGCTATTGCATATAAAGGTCTTAGTATTAAGGATTAAAATATTGATCCCGACTTAATTGATATAATAAATAATATTAAAATATTGATATCGACTTAATTGATATAATAAATAATATTAAAATATTGATATCGACTTAATTGATATAATAAATAATATTAAAATATTGATATCGACTTAATTGATATAATAAATAATATTAAAATATTGATATCAACTTAATTGATATAATAAATAATATTAAAATATTGATATCGACTTAATTGATATAATAAATAACTCAGGTTTTTATGCATTTTATTTTTCTGATTATAGGTTAACGTACCGAAGCAGAGGCGTACTTTTTGCAAAAAATGCAAAGTACACAAAACTCACAAAGTGACGCAGTATAAGAAAAGTAAGGAGAGACATGCCTCGCAGGGCAGAAGACGTTATGACCGCAAACAACAAGGTTTTGGCGGTCAAACCAAGCCCATCTTCAGGAAGAAAGTAAGCATGTGTTTTTGTATTATTAAGGATGAATTCTAGTTTTGTACTATATCTATTAGTCGATGTGTAAGAGGACCAGTTTTAATATTGGAATTGGAAAATGTTATTACAACTCTCTTATTTACATGCAAATTCATAGATATTATTTGCTATTGCATATAATGATCTTTAGTGTTAAGGATTAAAATATTGATATCGACTTCATTGATATAATAAATATTAAAATATTGATATCGACTTAATGGATATAATAAATAATATTAACAGTAGACACATATGTTATATTGAAATAATAAAGATTACTTTAACCTTCTGTTAAATATATTTTATCTTTTATCACACGTATATAGGCAAAAACAACAAAGAAAATTGTTCTGAGGATGGAATGTACGGAATGCAAATACAGAAAACAAATTCCACTGAAAAGATGCAAACACTTTGAACTGGGTGGTGATAAGAAGAGGAAGGTGAGTAGAAACATGTTTGAAAAAATATTCAAAGATAAGATATTGAATTGATTTTGTACTAACAAAATTATTGTTATTTTCAGGGTCAAATGATTCAGTTTTAAATTACCCCCTCAACATTTTTGGCGCGTATTCTGTATTTAATAAGAAATAAATAAATGTACAGGGATTTGTACACATCTTTATTTGAATGATTTATATTTTATAACATGAAAAAATATCCAACATGCCTAAAACAAACAGCGCTAACAGCCTCAACACTTATTCATCTTAATTTTCATTGTCCGACAACCGTGGTATAGAAACTATCTGATGTGGATTGCTAACAAGATAAGAAAAAAAAAAGAGGCATTAAAAATACATGTATCTCAGTATTTGCATTTGTGTCTTGTACACCAGATATATATATATAATAAATGATTATTTTTGCACACATTGGCAGTAATATAATCATGCTTCTTCTTTATAAAATAGCAATGTGCGCTTGTTTTAATGATAGAATTAGTACATGTAAATTCTACAGAGGATATCTAAATGTGAATATTGAGATATGTCAAATGTATATATTACTAACGATGCAAATGTACAATATCTATATAAGTCAAAGCGAACATCATACACTTACTCCAATACAGATGTGTCCAATCCTTCTTGCTCCATCTTTAATTTTACCGCTTGTTTTGGTACACCAACGTGTAACATTTTCAAGTACTTTTCATAGCGAGGATCTTTAGCTGCGGACTGTACTTTTGTTTCTTCGTCTTTAGAATCTACTTCACTGTTATCAGGCTCATCCACATTGCGTACTTCTACTTCCTCTAATTTACTTGTATCATTTTTGTTAACATTATTTGATTCTTTACAATGTTCTTGCTCTAAACCAGGTATAGAAGATAACTACGCAAAAGGAAACGTTGAAAAGATGTTAAACTCTAGCTAATTTATTGCGCAAAGATTTTTATGACAAATATGTTATATACAATACATTTCTATGATAATTTTTTTTTTAAGTTTGCATGAAACATTCACGTACCCGCGATTCTAGTATCTCTAACGACGCTTCTAACTTTTGCAACTTATTTTCAAACTCAAACAGTCTCTCCTCGCAGCACAGGGCAAACTTATTCAAAAACGTAACGGTATGAGTAATAAAGTGATTTATGAAAGAGACCGTTCGTTTTTGGTTGATTGGCGGTACCTAGAATACAAATCATTTCAAGCATGCTCCCTGCACTGATCATCATCCCGTTAAGCATCTTAACGGAACGTCATCGCTTTCAATGGCGTGTTTATGCACAAGAAACGTTAGGATCTCATTATCGACACCTTTGTATAGTCTATAGTCGGCTCGATTATCGGCATCTTGTAATCACTCATCGTAGATTATGAATATGCCAAGTCTCCGTTTTCAGTTTATCAAACTGTCAACTCCTCTGTCACACGTATATACGAGTACATCTCGCCTCATGCGCATCGGATTCGGATATGGAGAGTGGAAACCGTACTCGTGTCCCGAAGGTTCTTCGGATCGACAATGAACGTTGAATCTGCGCGCATCGTCGAGGCGCTTGAGCCTAACTTGCCGATGGAACCCTAGATGCCCTAGAATCAACGAATCATCGAGAGATTACTAAATTTGCTAATTTGTTTTTGAAAAGCTTTTTAAGGATGTTTTGTATGTACAATCCTAGCAAAAAGTAGCTGAAAATCAATATTGACGAATATCCATTTTTGATGTATTTTGAGTAAGAAATTGTGTAGAATATTACAATTTGATCTTAGCTACATGCATGTATTTTTTAATATTTATTGTGTTTTTACTGAAATATTCCGAATTTTGTTAATCGAAATGATTAACTTTTGGCAGAGAATTTCCCCTTGTGACAGATGCATGACTAATTTCATTGAATTATATTTAATATATTTTTAACCAGTTAGTAGTACTTGTATAATATTATTTGACCAAATATTTCCTCTGTATCTAAACTTTTGTAAATTTTAAACAAATTCTCAATATTATTTCCATGTGTTTTTGTCATTTGAATCGACGTAGTTATACGTTTCCCATAAGAATACATGTTAATTCGGTGCAAATTAAAATCCTTATAACTTGTGAAACGCTTTAGCGAATCGATTTAAAAATTGTACTGAAGATTCTAAACATATGTAAGGACATTCTGTACAATTTTCATTAAATTCTTAATATTTTGAATATAAGTACAAAACATCCTTAACAACTTTACACATATATACATAACAGGCTCTCGTAATTAGATAATGATATATATATTTTGGTCTTTGAGAAAATTATTTTTCGTTTTGTGTAAAATAATTATTTTTGTTTCCTAAAATAATTATCTTCATTTTTTTATAAGAAAATTAAGTTTCCGATAAGACGCGAAAGAGAGAATACTTCAATAAGAGAGGATTACGAGAGAATTAATTTTCGTCACGTTTTTCCTGCATTGCTTTTTTTCCAAGAGAAGACGCGCCGAACACACCTGATTGTCACCCGGGAATCAGCTGTCTGGAAATTTCGCGGTGCCCGAATATTTTCTGAAGCAAAGGGAAACCTGAGAGCGGCCACCAGTTCCGACAAGCACACTTCCCAACGTTTGACGCGCCGCCTGAGAGAGTGAACGCAAACTATATCCGTTGAGGCCCGGTAACGGTACGTGGTTCATGTCCGTGCTGTGCAGACGAGTTGTGGAAAGGAACAGGAGAGGGATTGAGGCGGCTTTATCCCCAGAAATAAATTCCAGCCTTAGCGGGACTTGAAAATCCGCGATTCTTTTTTATTTTTATATCCTCTTAATATTATGTTTTTTATTTATGTTTATAATTTTTTCCTCATGCATGTATCCTAATATACTGTTAAATTATAATTATTATAATTCTTATTTTATTATATATTAATATTCATTATTAATATTATATATTATTATTATTATTATTATATAATAAATTCATTTTATTTTATTAATACATTATTTTTTCCTCATGCATGTATCCTAATATACTGTTAAATTATGTAATTATTATTTTATTATATATTAATATATATTATTAATATATATTATTATTATTATATATTATTATTATTATTATTATTATTATTATATAAATTCTTTTTATTTTATTAATACATTATTTATTTTAAAATCGTCGTGCGGAATGCGCAGACAACCGTTCCAACTATAAAGCGCTTCATGCGCATTGATAAAACGGCACGATTTCGAAGCGCTGCGCAACAGTAATGGAGTCTATGCGTTTCACGCGTAACACGGAACGCACCCCGTTAAAGCAATGTCAAGTTTCTCGCTGCCGCCGAGCCTGGAGACCGTTTACCAGGCCGTGTGCTCTTTGTATAATAATACAAATCCGGTCGAGCCAGGAAAAGCGTCATTATGGCTGGGGGAACTCCAGAAATCGGTGAGCCTATATTATATTGTTTTGCGGTTCTTGAGAAAAAGAATGTATCCTTTTCGTTATCTCTCCTCGTGCACATCTTATTCGGCTCGAGTGTGTGCAAGTGTGCAAATTTCTCACCTTTTGCGGTGTTACCCGCATCGAGGATGAGTTTGTCGGGAGGCTAACCTGAAAGAGGGATCAAGGGTGTTTTTCTTGTCAAATGAATGTATTTGATAAATGAACGAATTAAATTAAATGTCAAAGCAATTGCACCTTTCATTCATATTTTTTATCTATCAGATTCAATGGATCTATTAATCCATTAAATTAGTAATCGTGATGCGACTCTTGACTCTGTTGGATGTAATTTTGTTATATTTCAGGTTCTGTAAAATAAATTGATTCTAATAAATCTCTGTGTGTTTTACAGGTATTCGCATGGAAGATAGCTGATGAAATGTTGCATGAAAAACGGAATATAGAATCCTGTTATTTTGCTGCGCAAACTATGCGGACTAAAATACAATTCTCTTTTCACGAATTACCTCAAGAGGCTCACATTTCGCTAAGAGATTCCTTGCTGGAACATATATCTCAAATTAATGAACATACTAATTCTGCTATTGTTACACAGGTCTTTATATACATTTTTTTATAACACTACCTTTTTTATATTTTTTGATAAATTTTTATGATTCTGTATTTTTTTGCTATTTAAGTTTGCCCGTATTTAAGTTTGCCGTAATTTTTATTAATAATTTTAAATTTTCTTATTTACAGTTATGTTTAGCACTGGCAGATTTGGTCCTACAAATGACATCGTGGCAAAAACCAGTAGTGGATTTAATTAACAGATTTGGAACAAGCACTTCAAATCTCTGGCCATTGCTAGAAATACTGACAGTACTTCCTGAAGAAGCAAATTCAAGATCGCTTAGGTATGATCTAAATATCTTATTTATTGATGTTAAAAGAGTGGAATTCAAAGAATTACAATTGTTTTATCTTTATCCAGGCTGGGAGCTAATCGAAGACATCATATGTTACTCGAATTTAATGCAAGTGCAGATACTGTGACAGAATTTCTAGTATGTGTAATAACGATAATATATATAAGAATTTTTCATTTAATGTATATATGTAATGATAATGACGTTTCCTTATTTCAATACTAGTTATTCAATATTTCATATATAGTGTAATTGCAGAAAATGTGCCTAAAAAATGGCAGTGATAATGTACAAATTCGAGTGACTATTTTGCGATGTTTTACCAGTTGGATAACTATTCATGCAATACCGCTCGAAGCTATACCCTCCAGCGACGTAATTACTTATGCTTTGCAAGTGAGTCTCTTGCTAATAACGAGAATTTTTTGGAAAAAATTAATTATTTTCTGTCCTCTTTTAATTAATAATTTTATCTTGTAGGTTCTTAGCAATCATATGGCTGGTTCGCAATTACATGAAACGGCTACTGACTGCATTTGCGTAATTTTGCAAACGTTGGGAGAAGATACCAGTCGTGGTAGCAACAATAGCGCTCAATTGCAGCAAGTGCAATTATGTGTTTTCACGAGTGTGATGAATTTAGAACAACCATATCATTTATCTGTTGCGCATGAGGATATGGAAAAGTAAATTCTTTGGTATATTCAAGTATTGTCAACTATTTGTAGCATAAAATAAGTATATTTTAAATCATTAAATATATTACAGATCTATAAATTATTGTCGGATATTTACGGAATTGGCCGAAACGTTTTTAGAACTTATGATAGCAGGTAGTGAACGCGGGGGACAATTTTATGCCACACAAATTTTGGATCTTGTTCTCACATGTGTTGGTCATCACGATTATGAGGTAAATATATTGAAAATGTATAAATTTTGATTCATTATTATTAGGTAAATATTTTCCTTGAATCAAAATGTTTTCATCACTGATTATAAAATATTTTTTACCAAGGTTGCGCAAATAACTTTTAACCTGTGGTATCGACTATCGGAAATTCTTTATCAGAAAAATAGGGATGATCTTAATATTGTATTTCGGCCGCATATTGAGAGACTGATTGGTGCCCTTTGTAGACATTGCCAAATGGAACCAGACCATGTCAGTATTTATATTAAGATTTTATTAAATGTCAGTAATATTATATGATACAGACAATAGATTGATAATTACAAAAATTTAATTACATTAATTGCTAGTTGGGCCTCGTGGAAGAAGGAGGAGGAGGGGAGGAATTTGCCGACTTTCGAAACCGCGTTTCGGATCTGATAAAAGACGTAGTGTTTGTAGTTGGAAGCAGTCACTGTTTTCGACAAATGTTCTCGTCGTTGACTGGAGGACCTGGACCACAGGGCCAACTTGTACATACACCTACCTGGGATTCCACAGAGGCTGCACTTTTCGTAATGCAAGCAGTGGCGAAAAACATTTTGCCGTATGTCTTTTTTTTTTTTTTTATTTATTATGAAACAAGAGATTAAATATAATAATGATTGACTTTCTTATAGAGAAGAAAATGACGTAGTTCCAAAAGTGGTAGAAGCTATTCTTAATTTACCAGAAAATACTCACATAGCTGTTCGCTATACCAGTATTCTTCTGTTAGGCGAACTATGCGAATGGATAGATAGGCATCCACAATCATTAGGTAACGCTTTAGTAAACATTTGCCATCAATTTAGATGTATATTCCATTATAGTATAGTGATTATCAAAATTTTTCATTATTTCAGAACCAGTGTTAAATTTCCTCCTAGCATGTTTAAATCAAAAGGGTTTAGGAAGTGCCGCCTCGGGTGCATTGTTAAGCATATGTACAGCTTGTCCGTTACATATGGCCTCGCACTTTTCTGGACTTTTGCAAATAGCGCGTTCTCTTGACAATTTTCCTATCAGTAATGATGCAGCAATTGGCCTACTGAAAGGTATTTAATGAATTGTATTATTTGCATAAATAAAATACAAATATAAATATACATAAAAATACACACAATTTTATAATTTTATCATCTAATTTTCTCGCATTAATCAAACTATATGAGAAGCATTATTTGCATTATATGTGTATCGTGTGATAGGAGTGTCGATAATTTTGGCGAGATTACCACATGAGGAAATTACTACGGCAATGCGAGAATTGTGCTGTTTTCAAGCGAGTTCCTTGTGGGCGCTTCTCGCGGATAATATTCCAATCGAGAGAGGAACCAAGACTGATCCTGTGATATGGCTGGATAGATTAGCTGCTATATTTAAGCACACTAATCCTCAAATTGACGATCCCAATAAACCTCATCCTTGTCAAAGTGTGGTCATTGAAGTGAGTGTTATTAAAGACGAAAAGTCTTTCTAAGATACTAGTAACATTTGTACGAATTATATCATTATTTGTATTTATAGATGTGGCCAGTATTGTCGAATGTATGCGAAAGATATCAACGGGATGTAAGAGTTATAGAGAGATGTTGTAGATGCATACGTTTTGCAGTACGCTGCGTAGGCAAACATTCTGCTCAATTACTTGAACCGATTGTAAAACAGGTATTGTATAATTTTTCGACTATATTATGATATTGTTATATCTTATTTATATTTAATACATAAATATAAATTGTCTTTATTTCCACACAGATTGTACCATTATATACGGCACATCAACATAGTTGTTTTTTGTATCTTGGTTCTATATTGGTAGACGAATATGCGACTGACTCGGAATGTATATGTAATCTATTAAATATGTTGCAAGCTTTTATTTGTCCCACCTTTGCTCTTCTCGAACAAGAAGATGGCTTAAAAAATCATCCTGACACAGTAGATGATCTATTCAGGTTATGCGCCAGGTGAGATTATAATGATTAATTATTATCAGTGCTTTTATCGAATCATATCTTGCAATATTTTTATAATGTTATTTTTTTTTGTACAAAAGGTTTCTTCAAAGAGCCCCTGTCCCTTTATTGCATTCTCCCGTTATCGGAAGCATTGTAGATTGCGCTATAATGGCTTGCAGTTTGGATCATCGAGATGCCAACAGTTCAGTAATGAAATTCTTTTACGATTTCTTACATAGTGGTCGCAGTTATAAGGTAATTCATTAAACATGTTGTGAGAATAAAAAAAACGTTAAAATAAAATTTCTTTATGCACACGTGACTCGTATAGATATATATATAGAGCTCAATCATATTT